TGCCCGCCTGTTGAGGTTACCAGCTTTGGAATATTCTGTCTCAAGGGAAGCGCTCCGCAGGTCTATTGTCAAGATGATCAAGGGGCAGCTTTTGAGCACAAAGGATTTTCATGGAGTGTGACTTTTGTGCTGTCTATTGCAACCTTCTATTGCATGCAGAATGCTTTCTCAGCGGACAGATTTATTGATGTACAGGAACCCTACTGAAGAGTCAGGGCTTCCGATGGAAGAGCACCTTTTTAGGAGGTCTGGGTTGCGGCGCCATCGTTTGGGAAGCGATTCAGCCAACCGTCTATGGCCCGGTGATTGAAGCAAGCCCGTCTGCAAGTACTGCTGTCCCGGCTCTTGCGGGGACACTGGTTGGCTTCGGCACCATGGTGAGGCCACACCAATGAAAGAGCTTCTGGTTTGGAAAACATTGTATAAATAGTCCTTTTTCTACTCCCATTGAACAGAAAAGTGTTTCAGCTGAAGCTGTCTCCTTCTGTGAGTGCCGCTGGCCTGTACAAGACACAGACGCTTCCTTGGCAAGCAAAAAGACCCTTTTTTTGTGCGTTGCTGATCTTCTGTCCACAAGATATTTGGTGATCTGACAGATAATCTATTGGTTGTACCCTGGAGGATTTAATAAGGGGCACCTCTGCTCTCACGCCCCCAGTCTGGCATGCAATTGTGAATTTAGAAATCACAGGGGTCACTAAAGCCCCAATGTCAATTGCAGCCTTTTTGAACCAGAGTCTTGAAGTCCTTCATACACTATGTGAAATCAAGTGCCTCGTGTCTGCAGCTGGCGAATGGTTGCACAAGTGGTCATGGAGTCTGTGGACTTCCGAGACTCTCGAAGCGGTCGTTTGCAGCCGTCGGAACATTCATGGCAACAGGAGTCGCAACAGCAGTCGCTGCAAGCAAGACAAACAGTTTTGGTCTATCCGGCTTGATGCGTACCAGCACACAGCGCTTACCAATCATCTCAGTTGTTTATGCTGCAGGTAAAATTACCTTTGACTATGTAGTAGGTTGCCTGTTGTTTTGTGCTGCAAGGGGCCGGATCTGCAGTTATTTTCGAGTTCTGACAACAAACTGATAGTAGCTGGACCGCATGATTGGCTTCGATCCATTTGAGTTCATTAACGGCGTCGCATAGAACTTGTTTGGGTCAAGCCTGAGCGTTGACATTTCGAAAGTTGTTCAAGCCTGAGCGTTGACTTTTCGAAAGTTCTGTTGCAGCGATGCTGGCACTTCCAGCTTGGGCCCTGTTGAAGTCCTTGAGAGCCCCAAGCGTCAGCACCGCTGATACCAATGCTCCGGAGTCTTCCAAGGTAAGCCGACTGAATATCCATCGACCGGTTGGATCTAGTCCGATTCTGTTCTATGGACGTGTCATGTAACATGCAAAAAGACACGTTTCAGAAGCACACTCTCAACCCGGACTTGCCTAGAAGCCACAGCTTGAACCGGAGTGTGTTGACGTCTTTCTTCCTCAGCTTGTGCCTTCCTTGTGCTTACATTTTCTTATCCAAGCAGGAACCCTTGGTGAAGCCTGCGCCTCCTCCAGCAACAGAGGAGGACACCTTTGCAAGCCTTCTGGCGGCCCTTGCGTCAGGGCTCGTCTTTTCGGCTGGCCTGGGACTGAGTGGCATGTGAGCATTTACGTGGTTTGTACTATCTGCTTGCTTGGAAAAACCAGCTTATACCTACCAGTATGGAACATCATCTTATTGTCAATGTCCGAAAGCTCTCGTGATTGCAAGAAGTGAAACTTAGAGGCCTAAGTTGCTCTAGATTGCCAGCCGTTAAATCGATGAGCAATTTTCATTGTGGGCAGAATCAAGGACAATTGACCCTACATGCGACAGGAAGGGACTAGATGGCATCATATCTACGGGTTTCCCTGTCAGTTCGTTTATAGGACGGCCATCCTACGTACTGAGAAGAGGTCGCTTCTGTTGCAGGACTAATCCTGCCAAGGTGACTGGCTTCCTGAACGTGGCAGGCGACTGGGATCCCAGTTTGGCCTTTGTAAGTGGACCAATCCCACGTTCGTTGCACTTGTAGGCAGCCCAAGGACTGGAAGTTTGATCCGTTGTAAGTTGGTGCTTGTCCCGATTGTCGAAATTGTCCCGATTGTCACAGGGCTTGAGACACTATGTTAGACGCATTCGACAAGCTTATCATTCAAAGCAACCATGCCATGCGGATCTGCTTACTGTATGGTTACGGATTGCATTAGCGACAAAGGATTTTTGGTACTCATGCAGAGCGCTGTACTTTCGTCCATTCGTCTCTGGTGTATTTGTTTCTCTCTCTCACCAACACGGACTCTAGTCAGCTGGAAACTTTAGTTCCACACTCCATCTAGACTGTAAAAGCGTTTTCGAGCTCCTGACGCAGCCGTGCTTACTACAGGTGATGGCAGGAGCCGTTTGCTTAAACGTGGTGTCGTTCAACTTGATTTACAAATGGAAGCGCCCGCTGCTTCGCAGCAAGTTCGAGCCGGTTACAAGTAAGCCCCGTCGATCATCAGCCCCTCTGCACAGAGCGCTTGACTCAATCTGCATTCCATAGCTGTTACCTTCTCTTGCAAAACGCTCGAGAAGCAGACTCTTGTAGCAAGGAGCCTGATCAGGATCGGAAACTATCTACTACCTGCAACACACAACGGAAGCCCGTCAGTGAAGTATGATATGCTTTGGAGTCCTGCCCAGCCAGACGTGTTCGTACGAGCGATGTCTACTTAGCAGGTTCGTCCTACGCGGTCCTCCTCCCGGCTGGAGTCCTGAAAGGCAAACGACAAGCAGGGGAACGACGAAAACCCTGCGTGGGTGGCTTCTCTTTGAACTGCTCAATGCTCTGATGCCATGAAGGCTTACATGCTCGACAATGTCTTTTATTGACTCTGGCCTTGTGCGTTGTATGCAGACACAACGATCGACATGAAGCTACTTGTCGGATCCGCCCTTTTTGGAGTCGGTTGGGGCCTAGGTGGCATTTGCCCGGGGCCAGGGTTCATGGGATTGGCAACCGGGAAGGTACGTGCCTCATGCTCAAATCCTTGTAGTCCCAGCATCTACCCAGCGTTTTGTTGTGCACTTCAGGAACAAGACGTAGCTTGAAGAGCTCAGTTGTGAACCTAGCTAAGTTGAATACCATATTCTTTCTTGCGACTATCAGCACGTGTAAGGACCGAGTTGGAGCCAACGAAATGCTGCCACCAGCAGAAGACAAGATTGCCTTTACTATGTGACTTGCAGAAAGAACACGGTTCGTAAAAGTGCTTCAGCGTCTCCTTTCGAACGTATGAGGCCAGTAGATAGCGCGTTTCTGCATGCCCAATAGTTGTCTCATTTTTGATGATGACCATCTTGTTTCGCAGGCGCAATTTGTCACCTGGCAGATGGCCTCACTTGTGGGCTCCTGCTTGGCTACACATCTGACGAGTAGTTGATCGGGATAGTCTTTGTTCATCCGTGTTGTAAAGGGCTCAATGGATTAATTATATGATAGGAGGGCTTGGTCTCCAGGTTGCGCCAGGGACTGTATGCATGCAAAAGTCTACCTTATTTGACGCCATGTCCTCGGCTGAGTGTTACCAACTCTTACAATAGCTATAGCACCCTGCATGATTGCTAAATTAGCAAACCAACGTCGAAACGAAGCTGGCTGACTTTTACGGATAGCCCTTTGTGTACGTTCATCTGTGCCCTCGCTTGTGAACGAATCGTGGACATCACAAGGTTGCGAGCTGCCCGCTGTGATCCAAACGGTTTGCTGAAAGCGTTAATGCAATGCATGCGATGAATCAAATAAATGCTGGTACAACTGAAATCAAGCCTGCACTTGTGGAGTGAATGGCTACATCCGATCTCAGTGTAATTGTTGCGATCGGACCACACTTACTAAACGCAACACTGCCGGCCCCGCGTCAAGCTACGCTGTTCAATTGCAATCCGAATGCAATTAGACCCCAATTAGAGCCGTGCTAGCTTATCAATGCATGCTAGTCCAATCGTTGCTGTGACCATATACAGGAGAAACTGAAAGAAGAGTCATGTATCAGACATATGAAGCGGGTGATCGCATGACAGTCATCAATATTGAAGCCAGTCGGACTCTACTGGACTCTAGCTAGCTCTTCTTTCATGTCGGAGTGGATATCGACTTAAGCGCGCATGTGCGGCCAGTTTCTGCTGCATTGAAGCGTTAGGTATACACACCGTGACGACATGAAGTGCATGACTCTCTAAAAGATCGATCCACTGCATATGCTCAACGCAGAATTCAATTGAAGCAATCCGTTGCTGTCCCAACAAACAAGTCGGTCCTCGTGGCACTTTCTGCTCGGATGTCTGTACAGCTAAACCTATGTTGGTGCCTTGAATCTTGATCACTTCAACTTACCGTGACTAAGCTTACAAATAATGTATCTACGTGGCATGGTTCGTTCTATCGCATAATCATTTTCTAGTAGACTCAATACAACTTCTTTAGCGAGCAATCTTTATGTTCAGTCCGAAGTCTTGGATATGCCAGTGCTCAATGACGGTGCTCAATATTTCACTAACAGACTATGCTCTCATGAATTGTGAAATCAGCTGGCTGCAGCACTATGCAATCCGAACAACTTCCAAACCAAACATAACCTATCGCACCTTACGCTTCGATCCAAAAAAATGCCATGGAAACTATACGGAACTCTAGCGAATAGCATCACCCTCGCTAACTCGCTAAGGGCTCTGGCGCGTCAACTTTTCTTGCATCCAGAAAGAGCACCGAGCGCATCCGAGTCGCTCAGAAACCTCGTCATAAACATGCGTTAGCAGGAATCCTCTGTCTTCGAATTCATCTTCCTCCGCTTCGGTCCTCTGAGTGGAAGGAGCGAAGATCGGCTCGCCGCCATACTGTTGATGCCCGAAAGGATGGATATTGCTTAACGCGCCTGTTTTCAGATCGTGCTTGAGGAGAGCGTCGAACATTGGAACCCCCGCACCTGAGACGCAGACTCGACATTTCTTTTTGACTTCCCAAACAACAACGGGGACTGCAATTCAAGTTGCGCAGTGTCCTACAAAGCTCTGAATGGCATAAAAGACACCCGAAGGGGAAATCGAAGCAGCCCGTCAAAACACATGTAGGCGCCGAGCTCATGCAGTGAAAGGGAAACAACAAAGCGGACACACCTGAAGAGAAGCAAGAGGTTGTCTGACACACCTTACCTTCTCAACTGTTGAGCTTCCATAATAGAAGGTTCTGAGAAGAATCAACAACCCAAATGGAGGAGGCGCTTACGGCCTGGCCCTAGTTGCTTCTTAGAGCGAACCGTGTAGACACTTAGTAGACAAACCGATTCGATGCCCCAGTCAGCTTCTTGTCAAAGGCGGGATACTCACAATAGACCTGCAAGCATCGACATAGGGCCTGTTCGCACACCGACAGTTCATCAGCGACATACCAGCATGTTGAGCCGTCCGCCGTTTTAAGTAGACTGCGCGAAAGACACGCCTCAACAACTCAACACGGCTCATTGCCCGGCTCATTGCTGACGCTCCGCGTGTAAGCTACTCTTCAAGGAAGAAAGAGATGCATTCGATGGGTCTTGAGATTTACTGTTCCTAAGGAACCAAAAGATGCAACCAGCAACTCGCTCAGAAAATGTTGCTCTGAACCGGGTCTGAACCTCGCTGAGCCTGACAAGACCTGCACGTCCACTTGCAGCTGGCGCTGGTAGCCGTGTGGTAGCCATGACTTGATGCACGCTCAGCTCACGAGACGTCTGCGCTCGTGCTAGGAGGGCAGCTTCCACACATGCACCAACTTGAAATGCTGGCAATGCCATGCAGCAGGCTATGGCCATATGGCTTCATGACTGGCGCCTCGCGCGCGCGCCGGCCGTGTGACCGTAAGGCCGCGAACCCGCGGGCCGCGCATTGCAGTCGCGGCCGCCCGGACGGTACTCGCGGGGTTTAAGGCACCCGGCCGTGACCGTACTTGCGCGCGGCGGCCCTCAGTACGCGGCCGCTTCAAATAGCGCAGGCGGCCGCGAAGCGCGATGGGCACAAAATGATCATGGCGGCAGGCAATCAATGACAACAGCATTGCAGCATTGGATGAACAAGCAGGCAAGTATGGCGGCCGCCACCATCTCTCGGACACTGAAGGGGCTCACCCTGAAACCCTCCCCCAATCAGTACTTGGTGGCCCCCAATGGTGAGCACATTCGACCAGGAATATGTTGCTTCTTGTGCATCAAGGCGACTGGATGACAACCTCCAATGGTGGTGTGATTTCCTCAGTGCCAGTCTCTCGAACCGGGCCTTGTTGAATCTTACCATCGTTTCACGCAAACACCCATCACTCCAGCACGACCTTCCTTTCTCCAGATCCTCTCTTGAATCTTTCATTTCATTCCACAGATGCAGAGCAGTGCCTGCCTGGACACTCAGCAGTAGCACAACATGTCTATTCTACATCTTTTAAGATTGTGATAGAGATCAAGGAACAGTGAGCACCTCAGTTCAAACGACCATCTCTTCTGCAGGTTACACAGTGTCCCCCTCTATGCGGCCCGCTCCTAGTTTCCGGCAAAGCCCAAAGGAAGTAGCAGAAGCCTGGAAAAAGGTCGCGCAGCAGCAAGTTAGAACCAAACTAGAGGTAAGCTCAACGGTGCGCTGCTTCCAGCTCAGTTGTGGCTTGCGAGCTGGGAAGATTTAACACTACCTTTCAATGCAACTGCAATGCTAATGGAGCGCAAGCACGACGGTGGAGCATGTTACCGCCCTGGATCAGATGAGGTGAGAATTCAGTGAGATCTATATCACTTTGAAGTCCTCAATCGAAAGAGTGCTTTCCATGTCAACTGCAGGGGGAAGATATAGAGGGGAAGGTGGTCCGGACACACCATACACAAAAATCTCTCATATTCAGATTTGCGGACGACATCTACGCAGACTTCATACCTGAGAATGGCAGAACTAGCATAGCGGTTTACTCTGCCAGCCGGGTCGGCTATGGCGACCTTGGCGTGAATCAAAAACGGGTTGAGGCATGGTTAGAGGAGTTGCAAAAAGCTGTACCACCATCCAAGTAGAACCGCATCTGCGAACAGGCTGAATGCAGCGCAGTACAGATTGAATGCTGATCTGAAGGTTGAGGCAGCATTGTGCCACCAAAGAGCGATCTGCTTGCATAGGACGAGTCAGCGTATTCTGCATTGGGCTTCAAATCAAAAGTATGAGTATGGCCACGTTTGCGATCAGATGGCTGCACTTAGCCAAATTCAACAGTCTGTCCTGGTTGTATGGTCACACTCGAATACAGTAATCAAGGTTCCTTGGTAGCCTGGCCGGCGGATGTCAGCGCAATGCATTCGATCATGGAAGGGCCAGATCACCTGCATGATAAGAGCAGAAAATTGTCTCTGTAGTACCTCAGTGGGGCCATTCCCTCTGTCATGTGGCGGCAACTGAGTCTCTATCGACTCTATCACGTCATCACAAATCAGGTCTCAACACCGACTGTCCGCACATGACGAAGATGCAACTAGCTAGAAAGTTGATGCTATATCGCTCTTTAAGATCCGGCTAGCAACCTCAGTTTTACAAGTGTAAATGGCTCCATTGTGGACCGGTCGATGAGCTGAAGGCCGCGGAAGGCTGTGATGATCTTATGGACGAGTCAGGCATCGCCACAATCAACAAAACTTCCGAAGTCAAGGCACTCTGGCCCAAATTATTTTAATCGTTCGAGTTCTCGTGGAACCGGCCCGGGCCTATTCGGCATGCTCATGGTGTACATGTACATACAAATATATGTGTGCCAGCTTTTAGAATCCTTGATACGCCGCGCGACGGGTAGGTAACAAGACGGCGTACTGTTGCTTACGTAGTCATGCTTGTCGCAGATAAATATATTTGCCACAATCACACATGTGAGATCGATCGACCATACGAGCCAACGGTCTGGCAATTACAGACTTAACAGAATGATGCGGGGGCCCAGTGGTGATTCTCACGATGCAACCATACTCACTGTGACTAGTATGCATGTGATCGACCGTGATCGACCGTGATCGACCGTCTTCTGCGCACCGATAGGCACTATATTCGCACTCACTATGTCGGATCAATGCATGCAGGAAAGTGGTATCACCAACTTGAGTATGCATCTTTGATCGCAAGTATAAAATCTGGACATTTATCGATCGTGCCCTGATCGTCTCACAAAGTTCCAAGTACAAAGGTTGACCACTGATCAGATCTGCTCAATCGTTAAGTTCTCAACAGATCACCTTCACAGCTGCCTATCAAGTCCTCAATGCAACTGACCTTGACTCCGATACCACCCCAACACATCAACATGTACAAATAACGTGCCTCCACCAGCAATTAGTCCTATTCTACAATCAGCTGCTTCTATACATAGGCTTAGAAAGAATCGTACAAGGCTCGGCTGCAATTACTCAAAGAAGGGAACGAATAGAAACGGGTGCCTTCGATCAAATACTGCAGATTGCACATATCGACCATTCCCTATTTGACGCATGCAATTCGCTTGCACCTGTCCACTCAGTACACCTTCGGAAGCGGAGAAGCATTCTCCAACGGGCTCGAATGCGACGAGCTTCGGGACTGGACCTCCAGGTAAGTAAACCCTTTACCGCTAAGAAACGGATCCTCCGGCGTTGCAACCTTCTCAATAAATAGCGGGTTTGTGCCCTCCCCGTCCTCTTCCCCAAACAGCGGATGCCCCCCCCCTTCCCCAACAAAAAGCGGGTTACTAAGCGACCTGGTTAGTTTCCGTTTGCCCCAGTCCGCACTTTCGGCCCCCATTTCCGGCCAACCCGCCTCCTCCGTTCTGACGCTATACCTCTCGCTGTGCGACTTCACCATTATTTTCGAATACCCGTCAGCAGATTCTCCGAACCCTCTGATCTGCGGTGCGACCGCGCCGGCGCCGTCACTCGTCGACTCGGCCCCCCACGGTTCGCCGATCGGCGGAGCGTCTCCCGCCGGGACGGCTCCCTGCCACGTGTCACGACGCGCTTCTTGCAATGTGTCACCACCGGGAGGCCCCGCCCAGTAGTGCATCAACGGCTGCCCCGGGGTCCACCTCAGCTTGGACATATCTAGACCGTCCATATCGTCGTCCTTCCAAACCTCCCCGCTAAACTGTTCAACCGGGTCGTATTCCGCCCGGTTGAATCCCCCGGGGGACCGTTTCCTCTTTGCCCCGTCCGTCAACACACCTGTATCCACCCCATCGACGAGAACAACTTTCTCCCCGTCTTCGTTTTCGTACAGAAAGTGGTGGTAATCCGGCGTCGACCTTTTCTGCGACTCCGAGCTCTCGGGACGCATCTCATACTCGGTGTCCGTATCCATCCGTCGATGCTCGACCGTCGATCGCGAGTCGCGCGACCTGGACTCGCGCGACTTGGACTCGCGCGAATGCGGGCTTTGCAAATTGCGCAGAACGTTGCCTGGGGAGGGGGGTGTGAATTTGCGCGCAAGCGGGCTCTCGGCAGCGCGCGGCCACAAGTCGACTTTCTCGGGCGTGACGATATTGCGCGGGTTGCGGTCCCGAGGGGAGGCGCGCGCGAAGTTGCCGAGCCTGCGCGTGCGAAGACGGAGGGCAATTTAAGGTACGTTAAAGGGCTCGTGTTGATGTTACGATGCTATAGAACACCGAAGGGAGAAGCAAATCCGAAACCTTTCAACGTAGCCTACAAAAAGTCACACAAACGAGTCGGAGAAAGTTGTGTCTCACCATTGCATTTCTAGCGTTGAGCAGCAGCAAGGACTGTCTTTAGCACCCCGTTTCCCATGCAACCAGTTTCAGACGGCACGAGGGCAAGAGAAGTCAGCAAGGTAACTTTTGCAAAAATGGCTGCACCAGATCCTTACCGTTGCACTGCACGCGGGGGCGGCAGCGCGGGCTGCTTCCCTTGCACCATGAATAGTCTGTCTCCCTTTCTGTAGTTGCGCTCAAGCAAGCGAGGCAACAAAAAAAGAAAGAAGCCCTGAAGACGTCTCTCTAACCTGGAAAGGAAAAAGGAAGAATAGAAAACTGACGAGCGGAGAAATGCATGCTCACCGCTGCACTTCCGGCGAGGGCGGCAGCGCGGGCTGTTTCCCGCGCAGCATGAGCACCACGTGGCCCATGCGCGGCCGCCGGATGGGGTCGTCGCTGACGCAGTGCAGCGCCGTGTGCCACAGCCGCACCGCCTCGTCCACGTCATACGAGCGGCCCAGCGCGGGGTCGATGACGTCAGCGAGGCCGCCTCCGTAGTCGTGGGTCTCCTTCGCCTGTGGGGAATAGGGGACTTGAGGGTTGGTCCTGACGTGAAAAAGGACTCTTCTGTCTGAATTCGCTCGAAGGGATTTACAAAGACTGCGAGCGTCATCTGAAACCCCGCCATGATTCACCTTTGAAACTGCTCAAGCCTTCTCGATCTGTATTCAGACCACTCGGTTATGAATGTGCCGAGGACCTGCAACGGAATAAGGGGCGCTGAGTCGAGAACTGGGGCCTATTTCTATTTTGAGTTTTGGGACCTGATTTGAAGATGGACAGTTGATCTTGGCATATCGGAGAGATGGATGATTCCAAATGAAAATCCTGTTGCTGAAAACTTTTCTTAGGTCCAGACGGTGAAGGCGCCTAAAAAGAGCACGGCATACCGTCGGGCAAACGGATCCTCCATCTGCCGGTTGCAAAAGTTCCGTTCCTGGTCTGTTTTGAAATGCTCTTAAATTCACCGGCGGATATAGGTAGCCTGCTTAAAATAGTCCGTCGAAACGATTCTTTTTGCCTGGCCCTAATGAATCGAACTGGAGGTTGAATTCACTGGCGATACCAAAGTACAAAAAAGGTTGGTTTTTTGGAGGTACTTACGAAGTGCGCGAGCGTCTTCTTGGACCCCGCCTCCCCCTCGACCGGCGGCTTCCCTGAAAGAATCTCCAAAAGCACCACCCCGAATGCGTACACGTCCGATTTGATGCTATTGTTCTGTCCGAACAGGACGCACTCAATGGGGAGATAGCCCGGTGTTCCGACCACTTGTGTTTGCACGCTCCCCGACAGCTTCCCGAACTCCTTGCTCCGAGCGAAGCCGAAGTCGGCCACCTGGAGAGAGAAAAAAAAGGGTCAGGAGTGTTTGGGAGAAGGGTTTGCAATGACAAAGGCAAAGTCTGTCTGCAAGGAGACGCGGTCGGTGAGGGAAAGTAAACGTTCACTCAAGCAGGCCCGAACTCCTTGCTCCGAGCAGAGCCGAAGTCGGCCACCTGGAGAGAAGGAAAAAGGATTGGGTGTGGTTGAGCAAAGGGGCTTGCTCCGACAAAGCCAAAGTCTGTCCGCAAGGGAGTAACTGTAAGGGAAAGCTTACGCTTGCTGAAGCAGGCCCGACCTTGCTCCGGGCGAAGCCAAAGTCGGAGAGGCGATGACCGGGGAAAGAGGTAAGAATGGTTGGAAGAAGGGGTAAGGATTGAGAGTGGTCGGAAGAATTGTTAAGGGTTGAAGTGTCGGAAAAAGGATGAGGACTGAGAGAGCTCGAAAGAAGGGTTGAGCATCTGCAGTGCTCGGAAGCAGAGTTGTGGTCCAAAAAGAACCAAACGCTGTCTGTAACTGCCTGCTTAGAACCGAAAATCGGCGATCACTCTGGACGAAAGTAGTATGCATGTTGAGCAAAGTGCTTGTGCTTGGGAGGAAGGTCTGCCGGTACCTCGAAAGAAGATTAAAATCTGCCGGGTCAAAGCTGCCCTAGTTCCAGAAAGCATGTAAAAAGATCCAAACGAAAAAGGTCAAGTTGCTCAAATGATACGTTGATGAGCAACTTGTCTTGGCCAACTCGGGAAAAGAAAGATCCTTCTATTCCTGACTTTGACGCACTTTTGAAGAGCAGCGCAACCGCGAACCAGTTGAAAGTCGCGCTCATGTCCGGACCGCCACTACCGGCTTGAGTCCCGAATGCACGGTCTTTCGCTTGTCAAAATGATCTTGAGTCCATCCAAACTTTACGACATGAGCATCGTATCCATGCGCCGAAACCGGATCGAACTCAAGAAAGATCAAAATAAGCCGAGATGATAACAAGGTAATGGCACTAGCACGGGTAGGGTTAGTTTGGTGGTTAGGGTGGGTAGGGGTGCGGAGCAGGTATCTTTGTGTGTCCGGTGATTTTAGAGTGTCAGTCGGAGCTTATCATTATCTTGGTTTATCATTATCTTACTTAATATCTTACTTATTATCTTACTTGAGTTTCATCGAGATCGGGGCGTACAAAGGAAGCAACGAACCGACTCATAATAAGGTGAAGACACTTATGTTGAAACGGCTGCCGGTGTATGGAATCATGGAACGGGTCTCACTCTCGGCTCGTCGGATTCGTCAAGCAGGATATTGGACGTTTTGATGTCACGGTGCAGAATCCCCGGGAGACAGTCCTGGGGAAGCGAAAGAGAGGACGTCAAAAATTCGAAAATGCAAGGCAGAAGCAACGGGGAGCTTTCGTCTGCCAGGTTCCTAAACGACTAGAACTGTTGCGGTTTGCAATAGGATCTTTCAGTTTGCTGGTTTTTAACAAGAGGTCGCGATAAGTCGTACCCAGACAGAAGGGATATCAGCAGACAGTCTGAGATGCCGTAATAAAGTTAGCATCGGTATGGATTCTGAGGGGAAGAAGTCGAGCGGCGGTGAAAGTCTGCTTAGGGAGAGCAATCACATGCCCCCATTCCGTGGTCGCACGCCAGCTCAACGTCGGTCGAGGCATAGCATGGCACGTCAAACAGAGTCGGTGCATATACCCTGAGAGAATCCCCGTTGGAATCAGAAGCGTAAATGAGCAACTGCAGCTTGCAAATGACGTTATCTGGAGCCGCAGGTGACGTCACGGCGACCTCACCTCGTGCAGATACGCGATGCCCTTGGCCGCCCCCACCGCAATCCGGTATCGGGCGCCCCAGTCCAAGGAGTTGCGCCGATCTGCACGGAAATTCACCTCGTTGATAAAGGAACGCAAGGGGGCGCATGGGCTTCCCTAATCTCTTTTGATTGGCTTCCCCGAGTGGGTTCTCGTTGGCTCACCAAAGTCGTCTGCCTTATGAAGAGGATCGTATCTTTCTCTAGAGTGGGCGTCGGATTTCAAAGCTCGCGATACTTATACTACAGAAATTGAGTTCCTTTTTGACGGATGAGGTCAAAAGTACGGCGAATCTGGGCTCTCTGCACCTTGGATTGACATGTATGCCCTACGCCCACTTCAAAAGTGATGACTACGGATGACGTCGTCCTCCTTCTCTCCGGCAACCTCTTGGTCGAAACAGACAACTTGACTTCCCTTCTGATACCGCCCATTCATTGGTTGGCCATAACACGGCGGTCCACCCCCGAGTGATCGACCCAACTCTAGGATACTCAGTCCCAATTCACAAAATACAGAAGCGAATGTCCCTACCAGCAAATTATTGCCCTTATTCACCCCGCAGCTTCGCCGTGGGGCTGCCTCACTCAACGTACGTCTAGGACTTTAGTTTCACAAGCACCAACCCCTTTCTAAACACACTCACCTCTCAGCTTCGCCTCCAGGCTTCCCCGCCCCATGTACATGAGAATCAGTATCCGCTCGTCCCTCGTAGAGCAATAGCCGATCAGAGGCAGCAGGTGCCGATGATGAACCCGAACGATCACTTCCGCCTCGCTCAAAAACTCCTTTTCCGCGCGGTTTCCAAATTTGGTCAACTCTCCCCGTACATGCTCAACCCGCATGCGCTTGACCGCGACCGGCCGCCCGTCGTCCAGCGTGCCTGAGAGAGAGGGCCATGATGTCAGCGGCACGAGGGGGGCCCATGACGTCAGCGACGCTAGAGGTGGGTCAGCTCGTGATGGATTTCCCTGGTGCTTTAAACGTTCCTCAACGTAGAAGCAGGTGACGAGAACCGCTGGCGTCAAACATAGATTGCTTATTTTCAACTGACAAGCTGCGGTTGTTTTCTGAAGCGCAGATTGAATGTTAGCAGCTGATTTGATGATTAGATGCGGTGACGCGAGTAACACGTGTGTGTTACTATCGACGCTGAGTGTCATCAGCAGCGCGAATAGGTGACGTCGGGCTGATGCTCTGCTTTGATGACACAGGTCGAGGAGCCCAACCAGAGGATGTCTATCAGCCCTGTTGGATTGTCAACCCACTCTGATTCCAAAAACCGCTGTTGATGAGAAGTGTACTAGCTCTACTTCTGCTCTTCATACCGATAGTTTTGTTGCAACTCAGTTGACGTCGTTTAGTTACATTACTCACGACGTTTCATACTCCGTGAAACATGATCCGCTTCCTGGGCCCCCCCGAAGGCCCCCTGCTTCTAGCATCCCCGTAAAACGGAGATCCGAAACGCTTCCCATGTCGGACAGATACCGCGATCCACAATAGGAGATACTCTCGTTACCTAAAAAGCACCCGAGACGAAGGGGCCGGAGCACCTGTCATATGGATACTACGAGTGTTTGGGTTACCCAACGACTTTAAGGGGTAACCCGGTTTACCTCTCAACAACTGCCAAATAGCGCCCCTCCCCCAGCAGCCCCACGAAAGGCGCAAACCACCCGCGTAACCAGTTTAACCAATTACCCAAAGGGGCACCAAAGGGCTTACCTCGAAACACCCCCCCGTATCGCCCCTCCCCCAGGAGCCCGTCCTCCGCAAAGTCCCCCGTCGCGCGACGGACTTCCGCCAGGCTGTATTTGGGCATCTTGTTCTCGACCGTCATCGGGACTTGCTCGATGGGGTGCAGACAGAACGGCCACCCGTCCGCTTCTCTCGGTATCATCTCTCGCTTCGGGATCAGCTGTCGCTCGACGTCCTCGTTGCTGCCGGGGTTTGAGAGGAGCTGCTTCGAGGGGCCAGAGCCGGAGTGGGCACCTGGATGGATGACAGAAGGGTTGGCAAGGAGAGAGGGGCAAGTAATGGTTAAGAGGGGGTGAAGCCTGGTCGCAGGACAAGGCCTGGAATCAAAGATTTAAAAATGCTTTGAGGGCCTGGAGTTACGGTAAAAGCCCAGAGTCAAGGAGGATCCAAGAGTGCCCACCTTTCTCCAAATTGTCAACTTTTGCAATCAGCGAGTCAAGTAACCGAAAAGCTAAAACCCTGCCAAGGTCGATTCCTCAGCTCAATGAATCTCGTCACCTACTTTACCTCGCGGCTCAGTTTATGAGAGGACCCTGTCTCCTAGTCAGAGACTCTTTGAAAGGCAATTCAGAAGACCGTGACACAGGACTCTGTGTTCAAAGTACTCTCTTCTTCAATGTCAGCTGACTAGGTCGAGCTTGGAGCTAGAGTCTGTTTTAAGCACTTTTTCATAGGAGCCCTCTCAGAACTCACACATCCAAGGATACTCGGAGCCAAGGAGGTAAGTTAAGCAGGAAGATCAGAACACTGAAGCCACCAACCGGGGAAGCTACCGTAAAAAGGGTACGTTCTCCCCACTCAAGAAGGTAAAGGTCTGTGTTGAGAAGATATGTTCTCTTTGATCATGGGGGTAGATCCCATGATTTGGAATGTACTTCCTTTCCAAGCAGGAGGGTAAAGTTGCAATCGTGAATTGGTACAGTGAGACTCACCTGCCCGGCCCGCCTTCATGCCCCGTCTCTGCATCAGTAGCACCACAATGAGGACAATCAACAGGATGCACGCCACTGCCCCCACCGACCCCGCTACAGTAATCACAACCCATGTCGGAATCTGCTCCGATGACGATGTCACAATTGTCACATTTGGGGACGCCGCCTGCAGCAGCTGCCGACCAATCAGGTGGCGGCGAGGCATCCCGTCACCTGCGAAAAGGTTCCAATTGTTTGTCTCAGATGAGATCTGAGTGAAATGACAGGTGTCTGATCTTTTGTGTGCCCTGTTCCAAATAGTACAAGCTGGACAACACGTGCTCTGCTGTGCAAATTCTGGGGGCTAAGACGGAGGGGGGGGCATCAGTCAAAATGGAAGAGGCCCTTGTTTTGCTCCAGCTTTACCAAAGCTAAGGAGGTTTTTATTGAGAAGCAAGTGTAACATCAACATGCTGAAATGGGGGAAGATTGTGAAGGGGCTTCGAGGCGTCAAAAGATGGTCCTTCACAGTGATGCCTCGGCCAGGAGTAAAATTGAGAAACCCTAACCAAAACCCTAATCTATCAGAACCCTAAATATGGAGGACTTGGTCCAGACATTTCTCTGCACCCCCATACCAGCTGTACTTGGAAGCAGCACTAGTTGCTCTAACATGCCTCAAGTCCACTATTCGGGTGCGAACACTTTGAAACCAGTCCATTTGGGGCTGTGCTGTGCTAGCGCCAGTGCATGCCAGCTGTCAACCACTCTGCCAGCTGTCAACCACGCAGCATTGCGGTTGGTGTTGGCACAGCGCCACATGTTCAAAGCCGTATTAGCTGCAAATCCCTTGCTCTACCGGGTAGTTGTCCTTCCCTTCTCTGGGCAAAGTCGGCAGGGCTGACTGTCCTCCCAGAAAACTTGTGTAAGGGCGGCAATATGATCTGAGATTATCTCTTACTTTACTCTTGCAAGCAAATAGGCCTTGTCGCCTTCTTTGTCCGGCAAGACGCACATTCGTAACCAAGTGTCGCAGGACATTTGACAAGCAGAGTAAAGAACATGCAATGAGCAGGCAGCCTCCAATTGCCAGAGTTTTGTTTAAATCATCCATTCAACATACTTCACAAACTGCACGTGTCTTCACCATCGAGCTTCAGGACGCTGTGGCAGGCCAGTACTGCACATGCCAAAAAGGCATGGTAAACCGACATGAGGCGCTTTTATACAAATTGTCAAGTGTTCATTGCCCAAACAAGGTCCAGGAGATGGGCTCTCCTCATGGGCCACCAGCGATTGTCATCACATCAGAGAGTGTCATCGGGCTGACCTCAGCATTGAACATACCTGACAGCCCCAGCCCATCGAGCATTTCCCCCATTCTTAACGCCGTCTTCACAGCGGACTGCAAACTAAGCAGAACGGGCGCCAGATCATCCCCGCCTCCCTTAATTATATCAAGGATTAAACTGCCCGCGTAACTGTGCCCCTTCCTCTCTAACCCCTGAGAATGCCACAATTGCCGTCAACTTTTGGGTGATTGCGCTAAGTTTCTGAGATCAGGTCGCTTGTGAGCTTCCAGGTGCCTGTTCAATCCAAAGCTATGGCCCTGCTGCTGTCAAACCCCGCATTCGATCGCATGTGCTTTCTGCTTTAGGGAGCTGAAGCTACGAAAATCATTGGTAGCATGTGGTCTATTTACTGAAGTCAAATCGTCAGCTGGAGGTTCATTACTGGGGACCACAGATCCTTGTTTGATCAAGCTGTCCACTTGATCAAACTTTTGCCACGACGTCGAGCCAACCAATCCACCTGTTGTCAGTGTTGATTGTGTGACCACCTAGAAAAGCTGATGCTACCCCGTTGCCCCGAGCTTCCGATCAGCAGATTGCTTCCTCCCAGAGATCAAAACAAGTCTACGAACCTTCCACCACTCCAGACACCTACTCCAGAGGAAGATCTCTTCTTTCTACTTAGATACAGTTCCAGGCAGCTTGCTTTGAGTCTGACGTGTTGGATGACCACCTCCTTCCTCCTCGCTTCTGGCCGTGCGGCACCATCCCGCAGGCCGAGACCTTCAAGCGGACTGTCAGCAAACAGCTCATGCACGAAAATGGAATCCTCAATCAATGATGAGGCAGTGATTGCCACGAACCGGTGTTATGTGTGGACCTAGCCGGCTGGAGCGAGGGTCTAACCGGTGCCGAAGGCACTCAGCCGGCTGGGCTCCGGCTGAAAAACCGGCGTGTTTGACCGGGTACCGGCTGAGATTAGCTGAGAGACTGTCCAGATACCCGGCTAAATGGATCCGGGGACTTGGGGGAAGCCGGTAGAAACTTACACTCAGCCGGCAGGAACGAAGGGTGGCCGGTAGATTGCCGGCGCCGGCCAAAGTTGGTGGCAATCACTGTGATGAGGGTATTAAAACAGTACCGGTACTGACCGTACTGCCGTGTGCACAGTACCTACGTGCAGTGTGCACAGTGGACAAGGGTACGCTACCGTACTCAGGCCCGTACCTCGGGTCACGTACCGGCACCACACGAGTCGATTTGTGAATCATCGAGGACTCAAATACGGTACCGGTACCTACGGTAGTGAATGCCGTACGGTACTCACTGCGCAATGTGGTGATGGGTACGTACCAGGCAGGCCTGACCGTAAGGACCACATTCTAGGTAGGTACCTGATATGTCTCTAGGTAGGTACCGTACTTAGCACACACCAGTGTACGGGTGCAGTGTGCACAGTTGCACAGGGTGGATTCAGCTTGTCGGATGTCCACCGCCCACGCGTGTGAGCCCTACACGTGAGGCCCGGCATTTGTAACCCGGCCGGTATGATCGGCAGTGGGTTTGGGGCGGCTTTGCCAAGTAGGATCGCCGCCAGTGGACTGTTGGATGTGGTGCCAAGACCGGCATCGAACGGTTCTCCCTACCTTACCGCCGGTGTCCTGGCCCACTTTGTGGCGGTAGATGGCCGACTGGGGATCCTCGCTCCGGCAAGGTTTTCGTACAGATCCGTACAGATAGATTAGGTAGGTACCACTTAACCAGTTAACCTACCGTACCTTCATGGTACCACCAATTATCTGGGTAAATATGGAATCCTCAAATTGACTCTATCGGAGTACGGTACACCTACGGTATCTCTCCTGAGGTGTTTACCCAGGTAGGTATAGTACCTGGTAGGTCCGGTACGGTTGGTAGTAGGTACGCTTGCAGTGCTGTAGAAGAGATACCGGTATCCTGTGCGTGTACATACTACCTGTACGAAGTGCATGCGCTGCGCTTTACAGCTATGTTTAGCTTTTCAATATTCAGATCGGGATTCGGAATCCTGTTCCCGTGTTCTGGCCGACGTCAGGGAACCATCATGGCCCATAATGGCATAAGCAGTCATGTGCCGGACCATGTAGACATTGATGCCAAATGCCATGCATGCACTGTGGTCGATCTAGTGTCCCATTTTTCCTGCTCCAAGCATGGTCGAGCCTTTCAAGTTTTCACAACCCTTCGGCGAAAGAGGATGACAATTACAGAGCACAAAGTTGTTGTTAGCTAGCAACACGGCCACATCCACACCGGTCAATGAAGAATGCCGCCAGCAAAACGACACAAACTCAGAGGAAAAGCTTTTACTAAGCCATGATCAACTTATACCATGTTCAACATAAGTATTTAGTAGGACTGATTGATTCGCCTCAGGTTGGACAACATGGACCTTTCTTTACAGACGCTGTACTTTGAAAAGGTCTGATATCATATACCGGCCCAGACTCCAATGCTATGACTGTTCGCTTGAGCGCCGCGGGAGTGTGCTACTCTCCGGCCGCGTCATCTCGTAGAAAAGTATATACCCATGATCGGTATTATTAGAGTACTCCTGTGTGGAACCGAAGAAGCTCTGGACCATAGACTCGTCGATTGGTTCCACGGATTCGTCATCTAGAGAAGGCGGGGAAAACCAGTGAGCCTACACATTATATTAACGCGTAAATCTGCAATCTCGACCACAGAATCCAGCGGTAGGAAGAGTGTGCCAACTTGACAGCATTTTAAGGCAAAGACCCACTCGAATATGCACCATTTTGCAACAGCAACATGCATACGTTGACAAGCTAACAAGCGACGGCCTCCAAAGGTGGCCTGAAAACGTAAGCTCACCAAAGAACAGCCAATGGCTGTGGCTCTTTACAAGGCTGACGTAGTGCCCGTGATTGGGGCCGCTCCCCACATGCACCACTACGCCAAACAACGAGTACTCCGCTTCAGCGCCATCCTGCAAGGATTCGCATAAGACGAGTGAATGGGTGTGATTGTTTGTCCGTTTGTTGCTCTCGGTTTCTGGATACAAGCCACCGCAGCAGTAGAAGCTGGTCCTTATGGGGCGCCAAACGAGTGGAACGGGCGTGAGTGATAAGACTACGTGGACACTGCTTGCCATAGCAGACGGATCAGAACGAAGGATATCCATATGAACCGAATTGGAAATAGATCCCGTCATGAACAGAACCGTTTCGGTCCAAAGCAAATCATCAGCCTCGGCCCTCTACTTAACCCCTTACACAACAGTACGCAACTCGGACTTCGACACAAAAGAGAAGATTGCAGATGATAAGCGCTGGCAGAACAAGTTGGTGCTCGAGGCAGTAGGAGCGCTCATCCAACATGACATCAACCTAAGAGGGGCTCTGCCGCGAAGATTACGCAGCAAAGACATAAGGAGCCCACAGCGAGGAAGATGCTAGCAGATATCATTCTCAAGAGCGAGCATAAGGGCTCAACAGCTCCTTAATGCGCAATCCGCAGCCTGAAAAAGGGCTTGGAAGCAAGTGGTAAGCGCGCGGGCAACTGACCCCCCCTCGACAGTGTTGCAGAAGCGCACACGAAAAGATCTCAAGAGCCAGCATAAGAGGTCGGCAGCCAGCATACGCGCTCAGCAGCCTGTATAAGAGAGCTTAAAGCAAGGCGTAAACGCGGGTGACTGACCCCCCCCTCGACGGTGTTGCAGAGGCGCAGCTCGAGCGGGAAGACGACCCGGTACATGAGCTTCTTGTGGCGGCCCAGCTGTTCGATGTACTTGAAGCGCTTCAGGTGCAGCGCCAGAATCTGCGGCGCCGCCTTAATCTTCATCCGTTTCTGGGCCTCCTGCGCAGCCCACATCATGCGCAAAAGTCAGGACTTGAGGAAGAACCGTAGTTTCAATCAATACATGGGTATTTCAGGAGAAAGATATCGATGTTGCGGGACTGGCTTTGCCAGGGTATCGGGCCGCCTTGACTAGCCGCTTCTGGGCCGCCTGCGCAGAAACGAAAGCTTTGCGGAAGGTGAGAACATACGACGGTTTGTCGGACGATGTCTTCGAGTTTGAACCTTCCAGATAAATAAAAGATGCGGAACCCGAGAAGCGAGATTGCACACAGCAGACAAGAAAGGTGAAGGCCCACTCTCTGAAACCAAACGGACTATGGATCCGCGACCTCTTCTTGATCTCGAACGAAATCTGGGCTTTCAGCGCAAAAGCATACTTCGGGGCAAGGACCAGGTCTCACGGAAAATTTGGGTTGCGAAACGGAGGGGAATGGGTTCGCTCAAGTTTCCCAAACTAAAAAGGCCGTTCCGGGCGCCTAAGAATCGCTGCGAACCGCACGGAAATTTTCAAACCTTGTTTTCCTTACCTTCCAGGCTGCGGCACTTCTACCGCAAGAACTTGTCCTCGGCGTTGAGCTTCTCGCACAAGAAGTCATCGATCACGAAAAGGGAAAAGCAAGAATCCATCGCACAAAAGTCTGACAACTTCAGACCCGTCATAAGCTCGTTTCCCTGACCTGCAGACTGCAGCACTTGTCGCAAAAGAACTTGTTCTCGGCGTTGAGCGTCTCCGTAGAGCTGAAGTTGCGGAGGCAGCTGGTGATACTGCTGTTCTGCTCGATGTCCAGGCTCAGGTCGAAGAACGTTTCGTCGCGTGACGTCAGCGTCTCGCAGCACAGGCACCGCGTCTCGTTCGTCACCAAGCCCTGGAAAAGAGGGTAACCGCTCGTCGAATCAAAGACCTCTAAGAAGTGAGATACACAAGTTTCCTTGAGCGTCTTGTCAAGTAGGATGTAAGGTCGGGGGGTGACAAGCGTTTGAGCATACCGTTTCGGAGTTCCTCGCAAGTACGCAGTTTGTCATAGTAAAATAAGAATGTTGAATCGCTGCGGACAGAAGAGCAAATGCGTTGCGTCCGTCATTGTGTCCTAGGGGAGCAAAGCGTGCAAAGGAACGCAGAGAATCTCTCTCGGAGCGGCTCATCCTTTCTAGATGCGGTCGAAGGTCAGCGGGGCACTGTAGCGGGTTTGCACTTGAAACCTGGAATCAAGCAAGCACTTGCGGAGGGATTTCGTTAGCCCTTTGTTAGCCAAGACTGCGTCTTGTTGACCGCAGTGCCCGGGAATGGTACTGATCAAATGTAGTCGCCCTTTGGAGTCGTGTGACTTTCGTTGAGCAAGAAAACTACTTAAAATGTTCTGAAGAACCGCGAAACTTCTGCCTTCTGACAACGTGCTTCTAACCAAGACTCCGACTTCCTCTCATTATCGTTGTTCCTCGCCTATACTCATTAAGCAGACATCTTCCTATGAAGAGGAGGGCAGAATAGACAGCGGCAGTGACGTACATAAAAGATCAGGTGATCCCGTATCGACTGGATACATACTTTCAAATTTTTCTTTCACAGATTTACAACTTTTTCTCGAAAGACGGTGCCAATCTGTCCATCGAAGGGCAACAGACTCAGGCAGAACCGCTCGAAGAGAACAAACGAGACTTTCAGCCAGACTGCATCGGGTCTAATGAACAGCACGAGATTGCCAATATAGTCACCGATTATCTTTGAATCGTCCCCAGTTTGTCAGCTTGTCCTGGGCCGCAACAATATCAAACGTGAATGCAGCGCACAAGCTCTCCATAGGAGCTTCTTGTGGAATTGACCAGAAGCTGTGACATTCGGACATGTTAATAAAGACACAACAAGCTCCCAGGACAAACCAAGTAAAGCTGAACAAATTGTTGCTTGCGGACCCCACCTGGAAAATCTCGTGCACCCACGTCTTTGCTTGCCTGCCCTGCGCCCCGCTCTTCGTGCCCTCCGCCACCCCGTTCTCCAACCCATTCACGTGCCCGTTCGCTTTCCCAAACTCTTCCCCCTCTCCATGTCCCCCACTCGTGCTGGGCGTCGGCGCCTCGCTCTCCCGCGGGGCTTTCTCCTCCTTCTCGAGGTTTTCCGCGAGCTCGTTGAGCAGAAAGTTGAGGAACTCGTGCGCATCCTGGTGCATGTAGCTGCGGAAGAGCTCGTTCTGCTTCTTGAGCCGCTGCACAAAGCGCTTGGGCGCAATCACGCCCGTCTTCTTCTTCTGCGTGCTGATCTGCGGGAGCAGCAGAAGGGTGTGTCAACATACAGGAGGTCTCAGAGGAACGAAGAGATGCGTGTGTTGCGATGTCCGTCAACTTTCCTTTTTGTGCTTGAAAAGGGAAAGAGGGGCCCCAAAAAAGGGGTAAGCTAGGGGGAGAAGAAACATATCCTTCTTCCGGATGCTGGCCTGGCTGGTGCGAAAGCTGATGTCAGAAATAAGGCAAACAAGAAAGAGCAACTTGGAAACTTTTGTGCAAGCTTCATCATGAACTGAACTGCGTAGACCACGATGTGACGGAAGGCATCCTGTGAGGTTCCTTGAACACAACAGTTTGAAACAGCTTAGGGGCCCGTGAATCCTGTGAGGTTCTTTAAACACAACAGTTTGAAACAGCTCAGGGGCCCGTAAGGCATACACGTCGGCAAGGGCTTGATACTGGATTGCGTAGTTTGTTGGAGACACCCTTGTACGAAGCGCGCACTTTGATGAGACAGGCATGCCATAGGAAATACTCATAAGAGAAGAACCGGGAAGATGCAAAAAATGGACAGACCTTCAAATCGCAATAAACATGTTGCTTGACAATCTCTTACATGCTTGATGCGTGGCTCACAGAAACCGAACCGCTTTGAAAATCAACCAACGTGCAAACAGCATACAAGTGGCGGCCCCAGTCTCATCATGCCTCCTTAGCCACAGGCTCAACTAAGTTGTGCAACAAAGGCGACATACATGCCACCTCCCCATCTAGGCTAAGGCTGTCCAATTTCAACAACAAGAATCAAACCTCCAAAATCTCGCTATGCAGAGGAGAGTATCGCGCCACCTTCCAACAGCCCCAAAGAAAAGACACCGTAATTGTCAATTGGGGTATCTCAAACATTTGTTCAAGTATAATCAGTTCTGGGAAATGCAAGTAGTCAATCAGAAGAAATAGGCCAATCTGCTTGTCTTCCAAATAGCGAAGTAAAGAGCGCTCACCTGTGAAAAGAGGTCAGCCAGGCTGCTCAGGAGAGTCTCATCAGGCTCCGGAACTGGCTTGGGGATTTTGGCGGCATACTTGAGCAGCTTCTCTCGAAAAGGGGCACAGAAATACAGGGCCTGCAGCAGGACAACGTACTTCTTTGATAAGGCAAGCACTTCCGCATGACATTAAAACGTCTCTACCGCAATTCAGGGGCCATACAGAGTACAGAGCTGCGAATTTTGTCAGCTTTCTGGATAAGGCGGAAGCTCTCAAAAAGTAGAGCCTTAGTCAACTTTAAGGTACTGTGTGGCTTACATCAGATTGAAATGACACCTTGCTTGCTTGGTTCCAGATATATATCTTTGCAACATTCTTGTTGTCCTACTAGGAGAGGAAAAGGCAATCCCAACGATTTGAAACGCCTCTTTTCAGATGGTCGGAACAGGTGAATCCAGGTGAACAAAATTACTACTGAGTTGGAGGCACTTGTCTATGAAGTTGCACCCAAGCAAGCTGCTCCCAACCCAGTTCAACGCCCTGCTCGAGCGCTTCCTGTCTGTTCAAACAATCCATTCTCATCATGGCCGCCCGCTGATCAAAAACTTATCAAAAACATGAATCCGACGCTTGGGGGCAGCAACTATGAAGGCATGATGTTCATGACTGGACGAAAGCCGCAACCTGCAATGTATTCTTTCAAAAACAAACTCCGCTTCTCAAAACAACATCACATCAATTGCAACAGACCCCACAAGTATATCCTTGTGAGCAATCCAAGACCTGCTTTTCCAATAAACCTCAGCGCAATTTTCCGAACCCTATTTTTCAAATCTGCCCCAATCTTCCCTTAACACATGCTGCCCTAAATCTTAGTTATCTGCTCTGGACTCACCTGTAGCACACTATTGCAATAGCATGTGTTCCCAAAGTTCTCCAGCCCAAAGTAGTGCTCCCCCTCAGGAAACGCCTCACCGAGCGCCTTCTCAAGCTTAGAACCTGACCCTCCCATGAATGGGGGCCAGGTGATCCCCGCAAAGAGCCCCAGGATTGCAGATGTGAGGGGCGCTGAGGGGGTTTGGGGGTTTGGGATGCACGAACCAAATACGGAATACAGCTTGACTGCCTAGATCTAAAATTACTTGAGAGTAAAAGTTGCGCAGCTAGCTCATTGGAACCTGGGTGAAAATAACGGGCGAACGGTGCACAATCAACTGCAAAGGGCAATCATAGCTTGTCGGAGACCCATCAATACATAGCACAGCTTGCATAGAATCTAAGTTGTGGAGCCCAAACCTGCTGAAATCTTCTACAGCTTAGAAACCTGCAGGGCGCCTATGACTAACCTACCTGAAACTTGATGATGAGATGTGATTTTGAGATGCAGCTATACAAGAGCTAGCCGGAATCGTCGGATCGCTGGATACATTCCATGTCATATATTACTTAAGACTTACTAACGTGTGCGAAACATTTCCAACCCGCCAGAGCAGAGCAGAGCGGAGGAAGTTGCCAGGAATCGCAATGGGCCGGAGTCTGGAGTCCTGCTCAGTGCTCTGGAGTCTGGACTCGGAGTATGGAGTCGCCGTCACTCTGTAGTCTGGACATGGACAGAGTACCGTACAGACTCTAGCCTTGTCCGACAAGGCTAGTAGTAGAAGCTCGATTTCTGCAAAAATAGTGCTTTTAATTACCGGTATCAAGAGCTTCGCATCCGTCAGATCAACAAATCTACCATGAGAGAAGCTCCTGGATCTTCACAGAATCACAAAGTGAACACCCTCCTCAAATTCCAATGCCCCCGTAGCGCCGGTTTTGACTGCACTGAGTACGATTGTCCGATCATGCATGGAGGGTTGTGGACACCGGATCGAACTTGATTCCTGCGAGTGCTGAATCCTGATATAATTTCTGCCCTGCATGCCCATGCACGGATCGAAGCCCAGAGTCCAGGTAAACTGGTCACGTCTCCAGCTTCAGCCTTGCCCATTCTTGCGCCTAGATATACAAGACGTGCGCGGCACGCCGTAACACCGTCATGCAAGAGCTCTTTGAGCTAGGTCGACGCGTCAAGTGCATCTTTGAATTCTTCATGTTTCAAGTCATCTTAAAGCACATGGGTTTGTTATGGGAACGTGAAGAATGCACAAGGGTTTCTTATGGGAGTACTCCCACAAGTGGAGTATGCTATAGCCCTAAAATCATTTCAATTCTGTCGATTGTAGTATACAAGGCTCATTCAAAAATGGCAAATAATTGGGGCATGCCACAACGTAGACAAAGAGGAATTTCATGAGGTTTATTCATCATGGCCCAACACGAGCATGCCTGGTTTACGTACATACAATGGCATGGCGAAAACGCTCTAAGTACATATTACCATCTTAAGCAATCTCGTAGTGAGTTGCAAAGAATAAAAAGTTTGTCGAAGCATTGCAAACACGAACAAACGGGTCCGTGTCCTCAACTCCGTTCACGTAGGACCCTTCTCAGAGTCTCCTCCGCGTGTTGCTCAATTTGTGGAAGTATCCACTCGTGTTGCGTCAGCTCCAAAGCATCCGTTTCAGCTTGAAAAGCCTGAAAGGTTGAACATACGAAAAGGCTCACAAAGCGGAAGCTCGCTCGTGAGTACCAAGTGAAATGCTAGCCCAGCAGCCAAGGCGAATTGTACGAGAGTAGAATGCTGAAAGGTCACCCGCAGCAAAACAATGTCAATTACCACTGGTAGCCGCAAGTTGATAATGACAACAACCATATTTTGAAGTTGTTGTGCAGCTGGCCAGCACCTTCCTGCCCCGAATAAATGGCGGATTTGCTCTTACCTTGGCAGCATCTGGCCCGAGACCACCCCCCATGCCCATCATTTGTGCTTGCATCATTTTCTGTGTGTCATCGCCGGCTGCAAAAAATCGCAGACATCCTCACAATTTTTGCTGCTTCGAACGCTGCTATGTCTCTCGACTGCATCGATTCTCAGAAATAAGCGATCGTAGCACCATGTCTGAAGTGCTAATGAGACCTTCAACTTTGAACCACTTCTATAACTTCACCGACCTCGACTGGAAGCGTTCCTCGATGGGGGCACCTTTTATCAACCGAAACTAACATGGCCCAAGTTTGTCGTCCTGTCATTGGTACCGTTGCTCAGTTGAGACTGAACCGGCACATCTCATCGTCTATGGAAACTTCGACTCTGACAGTCACTTAATCAGTCTGAACTTAGAGGCAGCATCATTGAACTGAGGTCATCGAGGAGTTGGCGCTGCACCTGCTATTCAACTTGAGACTTTGCAATGCGAATGACGAGCAAGTGCAGCCAAAGCCACGAGCGAAATCGTAGACATAACCATGTTGCAGCTGAACGGATGAGAACCGTGTGCTCACCGTTGCCCTCCCCAAGTACGAGACTGAAAACCCCTCTCAGCCCGAACAGGTTCAGAAAGTACCTGTTGAATAGGGACATTCTATCAGGATTCTTTGAGCCGGAAGACAACCTGCGCTGAGAACAAGAAAAAGACGAGGAGACGAGGGACAGGGATATGACGATGAGAGATACTGATACAAACCTCAACTATCCGTGCCTGCTGCTTTGATGATCGTTCTGCTGGCCTGCCGTAAGTTAATATTGCCACGCAAATTCGTTTCCCTTTCCTTCGTGGCACCTTGCAAGAGGCATGATGGCAGCTTCGACCCCTCTTACCATGACTGGCTGCTGACGTAGGTGACATCGAGTGACCCCAACTCGATGCCCCGCTGAAGCATGCTCCGAAACCGCTGAGTCAGGGGGAAGGGAATCTTGGCTGCACATAGCACAAGAACGATGTTACAGGCACCACTGGAACATCAACCTAGGTGTTTGTGTCAAACTCCCCTCGGGTCGAAACTCAGCGACTTCTTGACAATTGCATCGACCAAGGCAAACCATCAAACCCAGATCTTCATGTGTTAAACGAGCTGCCTTTTCAAGCAAGATGCGCTGGCGAAGATCCTGAGCAGAATGCTTTCGAAAGAGAGCTGTTGACAAATTACTGGCGCATATAAGTGAGGCAGTGCAGGCCAGTGGGTGCAATTTCTGAGACACTCACCAGCCACAAAACCAGAGAAGAAGAAGCTGATCCATGCGAAGGTAAGACTCTGCACATATCAGAGGGAGAACAGCATAAGCTACTTTCACCATTTTTGTGTATGAAGGCCAAGTCGGACTGGGCAACAAAGCAAATGTGCAGATTAACACGGTTGGCAGTGAGGAGAACGTGGGTTTAACGAGATCGCAACAAAAGCAGAGAGTTGGAAGGAAACAATACGCCTGGGAAAGATGGGCAAAAGCACCGCATTCCAACATTCAAGCTGCTCGGAGAATATGGAGCGCACCTGAGGTAGCATGTAGCTGAGGTTGTTCTTCATCATGTTGACAGCAAAGCTGGGGTCCTGCATCATCTGCGCCCCAGCGTTGGGCGCATCTTTCTTCTGCTGCACCAAGAGACCAGTTTCCTGCAGCGACAAAGGGGAGGAGAATAAGTGCACCTCCCCATCTCTTTGTGTGAGCAGAGGATGGGATAACGCAGCATTGCTCGAGCATGGCGCCTCTGATAACAAGGGCCGATGCAGCAAGATTTGGAATTCTTCCTGCGGTGAAATACAAAGAGTAAGAGCAAGATCTCATCTAAACTTGGGCAGTAAGGTTGTTCATAAATACTTATGCTCTCCTGTGCGAGCATTCTACCACCAACTCTCCCAATCAAAGAGGACGCCAGAAACTTTTCTTTACCTTGTTGTTGAAGTACGCCCTTCGCATCCGAAAAGACGTCGCTGGAATGTACCCAGCGTTCGCTCTCAAAAAGCGTGCTCTCATGATGGATTGTCTGCAGGTGGAATAGTGTATGATCAGACGACAGCAACACTTGATAAGGCATTCTTTCAGAGAAAAACATTGGGCAACTGCAATTTGAAAGAATAGCCTCTTACTTGCTTTACAATCTTTTCAAGGAGGAACAGTGGTGCCAACTTCTGCTGGCCATAAATTGGACTCATCCAAACAGCATATTGCAAGCACATGGGAACCCATTTCAGACTCACGACTCTCTGATCGTCTTTGGCTCGCCAATCTTCTCTGACTGCAGCGCCTTGGTCATGTAATGCCTTAACACTCCAATCAGGAACATCACCAGCGTGATTGGGACCAGCACCCAGTCCCTGATCTGCGTATCCAGAATGATATCTGCCCCCATCTTGACCTCGTCTGCTGATAAGAAAAGTGGGTGTCCACGAGGTGTTCACCCAGCTTGATGACGATCAATTGTACCCTAAACAAAGAAGCCTGGAGACAGGGAAAAGTGGAAAAGCAGAACAATCAGCGAGCACTTCCACCGGGTTAAAAGCCTTGCAAGCGTGACAGCTTAGTAATTCCTTCTAGGTCATCTCGTGGCTCTTAAGAAAGCAAAGGCAATCCCTCGGTGGATTGGGGAAGGAATAGCAGACGAATTGACCAGTAGAATGGCCGCTAGCAGGGGACACAATTCAAATGTGCTGCTGCATGTGCAATTTTGACAAGATGCGCTAGCGCAGCGCTTGCAATGCGAGGCGAGAACTAGTGAGGCGTGTAGCGGTCCCTTTGAACGGGGATGAGTGGGTGCACGGCGGCCGGCGGTGGACGGTAACGGTAAGGGTTCGTTTGTGTCAGTCGGAACTAGAGCGACCAGGTGGACTCGTCAGTACCGCACCGCGCGAGCCGCCAATTGCAGTCTGCCGCTTGATCGGACGGGCTTCAAGAATTCCCAGAGGAGGTTGTAGGTATATTATTCTTATCCGTCCGATGTTCGCCGTGTCTGAAATCGGACGGCTAGAGCGCCCCGCCTCTGATTGGTGGCTGCGGCCTGCCCTATCCACTTCGTGGTATCTTGCCTGCGCGTCCACGTTGGAGATGAGCACTCATGAGCACTCGAGAATCTCTCCTCTGCCAAAGCTGTTGATCAAAGAAAGAAGCAAGGCGTCGTCTCCTCCCTCAACGCAACCATGGCTTCCACTGCTGCTGCCCTCTCGTCCGTGTCTGCCCTGAGCTCCTTCGCGAGTGTGCAGAAGAATGTCGTCGCGCGGCCAGCAGGCAATGCCAGGGTGAGGAGTCGTCACCAGATATTGTCTTTGATAGAACAATGGGCAATGTGCAGGTGTAGAGTTTTAATGCATTCATACTGTCCATATCTAAATATGAATTCACACCAAGAAGCAGAGTTTTCTGCCAAGAAGAACTGCGTACACAGACCATGACTCTGTGCCCATAAAGTTCCGCCGTCCAATGGCTGCAATATGAGGGAATGCCTGCAGAGCCTTGCATAGGCAATGTGCACAATGCACGTTATCCACATCCTGTTCAACAAGTACAATGAATGCCAAAGGTAGACGTTGGAGAATGATGGTGTCAATTGAGGCGATTGCACTCTGCCTGGGAACAGGAAACAGAAGACTGAAGTGCCTTCGTGCGCGCGTCTCATTGCTGTTGATCTTCATCCCCCTACCAGGCTTTTGCTCAAAGGTCTGTTCCTCTGGCACAGTCACCTCTAATTGGCCGCTTCTTGGTGCTGCAGTTCATGGTTGTGAGGTGTCAAGCTAGCCAGCAGGAGAAGCAGGCCATGCAGAGGAGAGCATTCTTTGCCGCCACTGCTGCCGTTGTGATTGCGTCCGTACTAAAGGAGGAGGCCAAGGCTGAGGAGCCTACCCGTGGCACTCCTGAGGGTAAGTGCTGCAGAAACTGGTGGACTCATTGCGTCTGTCGTCTATCTCTTGGCATCTGTTTGCTGACACATGAGTACAATGCGTTGGCACTGGAAAAAGTGAAAGGAAGGCCTTCAGTGCATTATAGGTTTCAATTGACTATCGCTTGAATTCCAGGGTCCAAGGGAAGAGTGCATTTTGCGTTCAAAGGGATGATCGCATTTTGCATCTTGTGCCCAAGGGTGCTTGGTAGGACACATAATCTGTTGCGATACTGAAAGAGGTTTGGTAGGTCAAGTCAAGGATGGAAAGAGGCTCTGCCACAAAGCTGTACCTATTGGAGGCAGGTCAAGTTTGGCTAAGGAGACCATCCAGGATTGTCGATCCAGAACAGATCATAGGCGACCCACACTTAGGAGGTCAGCCAATGCCCAAGAAGATCACGCCAACAAGAAATTTTTGATTCCGCAGCGCCCTTTATCCGGTCACCTGCCAACCAACCGGAAGCAAAGGGATCCCGACCGAAACCTTTATACTGACCATTTTTTTGAAATTTGAAAGTGCACTCTGGAATTCAGAAGTTGGATCCCATTAAGCTGGAGTTTGGAAACTGACGCACAGCGGTGACATATCAGTTGTCGAGGGTGACACTGAAATGGATTTGTGTGAAGGGTTTTCGAAATGAAGACAATGGTTTTTCTGCTTGCAGCCATCAAGAAGTACAAGAGGCTGTGCGTCAGCATGCCCACATCTTCAGTCTGCCACAAGTAGAGTAAGTTGCAACCGTATGTTGAAGCTGTCCGGACCGATGCAGGATGCTGGTGGGTTGGCAGACTTGTTGAGAACATCGATTGGTGGTATTGTTGCAGACAGGTTGAGAAACTTCCCAACTGTATGCTGTTCAGCAGTACCGCCGTTGTGATCAGGATGGTATGTTGCTTAGATCTGACCAAGTCCCACATGTTGCAGGTGTCTCCTCGCGTATGGATTGGCTTGGGACTTTTGCAGTCACATCAGTCTCAAAAGTGTACAGTGGACTCATTGAGTTGAGGATTCTTCTTTGATCGTTCGGACTGGCATGCGTGTGTTAAAGTATAGGAACGAGGGATTGTTCTGTTCTGTGCAAGGCGAGAGAAAGCATGGTGAACACATCACCCTCGAATCAATTTCGCATATATGGTGCGTGCGCTTGTGCAATGTATTTGGATCCCTCAGGCTCCAGGATGACCAAGCAGATTGCCCGCATGGGTACACTACACTTGTTCGTTTATTCCAAAGATATCCTGATAAACATCAGCTCTACATATCCGGACTTCCAGACAGACTGTATGGTTAAATTGACCCTTTGCATCATTCATTGAAGAAGCCGGGCTTTCACTGTAAGAATTAAGGCCCGGAAGCTGAATATGGTTTGGTATTGTTCAATCAAACAATATCATAGGGCACTAGCTCTCCATGCTTCATAGGGAGTGCGGTTTTTCCGGGCCACTTAACCAGCACATGCTCGAACTCTTTCATCCACTTGTATGAGATGCACGCAAGCAGCCGACATGAGGTGAACATGCTGCAGGATATGCCTGGCACGGCACCCTCATACATATAAGCGACAAAAGGGGTACTTAAGCATACGTGCAAGAGCTGACATTCGTTGTAAGCGCACTGATTGTGGCCGCGCTCTTAGCAACAGATCCATCGTGTAGCTATGGTAATCTGCCAGTTGCCAAAAATTGGCCAACGTGATGGCCTGATGGGCCCGACATGAAAACTGGACTGGCAGGATACGCTGCCTTTGCGCTTCCGCCAAATATTAGTGCGGTCTCTAAGTTGTCTGTCATGCAGATTTGCATTTCTATCAGGATTGGCCTGCCTCCGTCTCACTGAGCCTTCTCATAAAGTCTTCTAAGCATAGCGCTCGATTGCACAAGCATCAGCAGTCTCACTTCTTAGGCTTCTTCTTGGCAGGTTTCTCATCACTCTTTTTCTTCGAGGACGACTTACCCTTTTTCGTCTTTGATGCAGGAGTCGCTTTTTTCGATTTACTACTGGACTTAGAAGCAGACCGTCCCTTGGCAGGGCTAGCTACGATAGTCCCTTTCCTCAACAGTTTTTGTTTCTTTTCGAAAACCTTTTGTGCAAGGTCTTCATCTAGCAACCCATGCTCCATCATCCTGAAACGACACCACCCTCGAATCAATGTAAGGACTCCGAACGCATGGAAGCTTTGACATCAATCGAGGTCTTCGAAACGAAATTGTAACAGAGTAGAAAGAGAACGTACCATCAATTACATTCTGAAACGGCTCTCATTGGGGCCTGCTCAGAAAGTCTATAAAAGCATTGCATTTTTACATTAATTAGCTTATTTTATCTGAGGTTCTTGCCAATGTCAAAATCAGACTGCATCAAACAATAACAGACTCTTTCCTTGCAGTGCGCATTACCAATGCACTTTCAGATTCGCAATCAGAAGCCTTGTGCAGTTTTGAATCTACCCGCTTATCACAAAGCAAGCCAGTCAGGAAAGCAACCAACACTTACCAGAACTGAGCCATCTCGCTCTCTGGTCGCTGATTGTAAAGGCTCTCATAAAACACTCGGAGTGGATCTCGCTGCAAGACAAGGACCAACAAGCTTTCAAGGGACGCTGTTTACTCGTTCAAAAAGAATCAACCTCAAACTTGCAAAGAAAGGTGGTGCATCTAATCCCCAGACTCATACTTGGTTCCTACTTTGGGACAGCAAGCACGTGAAGGCCTGGCTGTAGATGTTGAAATCTTGACAGCATTCTGAGAAAGCTCCTTCTCCTTGGAACTCAACATGATTGCTTATCAGGTTTTCAGAAACGATACAATGAGGATTCTGCACCGCAACAGAATGCTACTCTACGAGACTGCACAAAACAAACCATGGACCTATACCTCAGCAGGAATGTCATGCTTCTGGCCAGGGAGGTCATAGACCTTCCGCTCCTTCTTCACTTCCGTCTTCTTGTCTGCAACCTTCTTCGTCTCCTTTCCCTGCAGGCAATACTTAGTACATTCCGACAAGTTTCGTTTATCTAGGGGCACTAGCAACTTAAACAGTGCTCCGAAGGCAAATAGCCGCCCAAAATACAAATTTGAGGGTTGGAAGTGCGCGGCAGTGTTGCATAACTGATTACAGGGCGCTATGCTGACACATTTGCATCAGATTTGTGTTAGAACTATTGAGCTCTTACTCAGAGTTCTTGACTCCAATCCTCCACAATCAAGCGAACACAATCAAGCCAAAACAATTAAGCCCCATAGTTCTGGATCACATATCACAGATAGACACTGGTTCTATCCTGTGCATGATCGCAGATTGTCACCTACCTTCCCTTTCTTGTCTGCAGGCTTGGCCTTCTTCTTTTCCTTGCCTTTATCGCTCTTCTTTTCCTCCTTTTTGACTCTCTTTACTGCTGGCTTCTTTTCGGCCTTGGCAGTTGGGGTCAAAGCAATTGGCACATCATCATCGTCCATTGTACCTCAGAGCAGATAACGGCGATCGCCGGTTCGACTGATAGTTGTTGACCCTTGAGCAGCTCGGAATCAGAGACCTGGCGGAAACCTGAAAAACTCTGGAAAGCGCCAAACTACTGGAACTACCCAGCAATATGAAGAGAACGCTTTGACGGCTTGACCTTTCAGGCTTCGTATTAAAAGTAAATCGTTCTGTATCCAAAGAAGCGCAAAGCTTGTGTTTGCCTGAACTCGAAAGTGACACACACGAAGTTGGGAGTGTTGGATCGAAGGTCGTATGTGTGTGGATCGAAGGTGCTGTCAAGCATTGCATCTCCAACCTGTGCTGCCTCAGGTAATATGAGAGTCAATTTACGAACGCGCCCACCATATGGGACCAAAGCAGAAATTATGTGCACCAGATTCTCTCGTATGATACCGCAAGACATGGTTGCTGCTCATCAAGAAACGGGCTCTCGAAGAAAATCGGATTTGTCAAAGTCAGAAACGCACTGACAAAATTGCGCGCTATTTTCGGAGCTCGTATACCGTATACTGGTTCTGCTGGCCTCAGGCACATCAGGCTCTGGATCAGTGGATGCTGCTCACAGAAACAAAGTGCTCTGAAACAGAGGTTGAGCAGCTGTGTGTGCGCTGCAACATGGCTGTCTCGTCTTTGACGGGCTCACTTGGCAGTTCTCGACTGCTTCATTCAACCCTTCAGCGGGGCAATAGGCCGCTTGCACCTGCTTGAGTGCGATAATCGAGCTGGCACCTACAACTTTCCTACACCTCAGATTGCACCACCTGGGAGCTGCAACTTTCAGCAATTGGATCTGTGCAACTGCCAGCTGGAAGTCTTGTCAAATTGTCCAGATTAATGAGCAATGCATTGTTCTGGTTGGAAGAACTTTGACATAGTTAGAAAAAGCAGCTGATCGACAGCATGTTTGAGCTGCCGCTGCTGGCGGCAGGCTCTCCCCGGCAGCCACCGGCTTATCTCCATTCATGGAGATCCGTCCTGCTGCTCCTGGTGTTCGTGGATCTTATGGCTGCGGGCATGGTGAGGTTCTCAATCAGTCTACTGTGCTTAACCTCATTGTTGCACAAGAAGACAACCAAGCGCACTGATTCTCTGATCTCAAATGAGCTCTGTAATTGAGGAGAACTGATCATGGCACCAACCGAAGGGGGATGGATGACGCACGGGCTGGTCCGTCAACGTGTTTCTCCTGAAAACTGTCCACATCTTTGCTCTAAGTTCTCTGTCCTAAAGCAGTGTTGAGAAGCTGCCAAGCCTCAACTTGTTCCTTGATTTTGCTGCAGCTTGTCCTCTTTCGCAAGCCAGGGCAGTGCCGCAGCTTCAAAAAGCGCAGTAAACCGACCGGGGATTTCATTCATAAGGGGATCAGTGGTGTTCTCTAGACCGTATCCCGTCAGATGACAAACAGATGTGTTTGCATTGAGTGGACCAAAAACAGCTCTGCAAGAATGGCGTTCTTACTCTGCAGGTGATGTCTATGCTGGTTCCTCTGATGAAGGAACTAGGCGCGACCCCTTTCCAGTTGGGCTTGATCTCCAGCACATATGGCGCCCTGCAGCTCACGAGTGGGCCTATGGTGGTAAGTCAACGTTCTTCTCGTGCGTTTAAACAAGCGTCTTGTCTCAGATGGATGGTAAAGTACTCAATCAGACCACTAAAAAGGCTTGCAATGATCGCGCCCTTGGCATTACATCTTCTTAGTGGATTCAACGAGCTAAACCACTGAGCTCAGATCAAGTCAAGGGGCAAATGAAGCTAGGCAGGGTAATTTCTAGTTCTCCAAGAGGCGACTCAAACAAATTGGAGAACAAAGTTTTTCCAGCCCTCAAGTGGAACGTCCTCTTGTGTTCCTTAAAATTCGGTAATAGTACATAACATGATTTTCATTGTGAAGGGCCAACGAGCTGAGGCGACTTTGCAACGGCCTGAAGTGCTGTTGTTGCAAAAGCTCTCAAACCACCATCCAGGGAATTTATAGGTGTGGGTCCCACAGTCAGTCGGTTCCGAATATTGGAACTCAATTTCGGACATTGGCGATTCAGTTTGAGAAAAACACTCTATAGAGACTAAATGATGTGAGTCGTTTCACGTGGCAGTTCTGATTCAAAGCTGTATCTTCAACTGTTTCCGAGCTCCCGGAGGAAGCACCGCCGAAAGGGTGTAGATACAATCAATTTTCGCTATCTGTAAGCTCAAGTCTTGCAAGCTTCAAACCTGTGCCCCCTCGACGGTTTTGAGGGGTTGGACATCTGCGGAGGGTGCCATGCCAGCATCTCGAACTTGCCCATGTTATACTCCGGGTGGTATTTTGAGAATCGCAACTGTCAGGACCCACATGTTACAGTCCCGAGCATTAAGAACAACCAAATCAGTCTGATTTCTCACAAGCCGACAAGGTGCTGGACTTTTCTCTTTTTGCCTCCAGGGCTTACTCAGTGACCGCAAAGGCCGTCACTTTATCATCGTGGCCGCATACCTTGGTACTGCCATTGGCTACGGCTTGGTTGGCTTCAGCCGCAGCCTAGAGGTAAGCCATTTGGGGGCTGCGGATTGTGTAATAACTCCCCTCTACACTGTGCGTATGGGTGGACACGGTTGCTTCTCCGGTTTTCGTTCACAGGAACAACACTTGTCTGCGATCAATGTCCAGCAATTACAAGTTGTATCGGCCATGGCGGACAAACAAGTGCCTCCCCTGCGTCCTTTCGAGTTGCATTCACAATATCAAAATACCTCTCTGCTGTGTCACAACTCTCAGGTCCTTCTCTCGAGTCGAGCCATGCCATGCCTGGGGCGTCACGACCTCGACGTCTTCGTCTTGAATCGCAGTACCTGCTAATGCTTGTTCGAACGTTGTACTTCGAAGGAGCAATTGTCGTTTTAATGTCATCGGTTCCAGCAACGGCGTCGACTTTGTCTCTCCGAACCCCCTTCCCTGACTGATGCTCGTCAAAGTCGCACATCGAGGGGGCCATCTCTTTCCTCGATGTGCATCAGTTTCGAATTATATCCTGCCGCTCAGTTCAAACTCTATATTGAGCACTGGTGCAGCATGGAACATTACATCTTCCTGTTCGGCACTCTGGTCTTCTCATTTTCAAAAGGACCATTCTTTCTCAAAGGCTTGCATCCATTTCGTGTCGCCAGTCGAGCACAGTCCGCTTTTCGAGTTAGACTAGCAACGGATCTGGTGCCCTACTCTTCTGCAATCTGTCAAGAACATACTGGAGAGGACCAATCCTAAAAGAAGATTTTACCTGATTGACGTTTTACCCGTTGCTCTCAGGTCCTGTTCTTGAGCCGAGTTATCACGGGCCTGGTGCGCCACTCCAGCAACGGCGTAAAGGCGTACATCTCGGACCGCGTGTCCCGGTCCGAACGGTCCGTTGATTTCGGACGGATGGCCACCGCCTCGGGGCTAGGATTCATGGTGGGACCCATGCTGGGGGGCTTCTTGCACAGGTAATTTTTTCACTTTCATTGCTCCCGCATCCTCTGACTCCTTGTCGATCACTTTCACGAATAGTAGAAGCTACGTGGAATCTTCTCAGTGCTTTCCTTGAGAATCAGGCTCTAGATTGCAGGGCGGGATGAGATCTGGAAGGTGATTGCCAGAGACGACGTACTACCCTTCGCTTTCGTGTTGAACGGCGAGCTGCTGTGTCGTTGTTCACAGCATGTCATGTCGTACGAATCGACGGCTTTATGATAATTGAGCAAGCACACGACAAGCCGTACTTTGGAAGCTCTACGAAATATCTGTATGGTCGCCAATTGTTTCGTTCCCAACGTCCCCGCCTTTAAAACGTGCTCGACGAACGAAGTGACTCATTCCCGTTGCTGACCTGGACAACCATTGCCCATAATATTGCCCCAATCATTCACAGCTGACTGCATTCTCGACAGTACCGATCGTTAAACAGGATTCAGCACCTTGACATTCGTTCTGTCAAAGCGGCAGCGTCTTTCTCTTAGCCAAAAGCCCTCGAATGAGACGAACCCCATTTACTCCTATCAAAGAGACAAGACTGAAAGCCCAAATAATTCTCTTCGGTATCATCATTGCGATCCCTTACTTATATAGTTTTCATTTCTTTTGTGTTCTGCAGATACGGCGGACAGCGCCTCCCCGGCTGCCTCGCCGCGCTCCTCTTCCTCTGCAACGCCACACTCGCCTCCTACTTCCTCCCAGCTTTCCCGGGCCCGACCTCGGACAAAGGGGGTCCAGAAAGCCCGTTCCCGTCCCCCCTACCGCCGCGAATTCGTTCCTGGCACGCGCGTCTGGAATCCGTGCTTCCGCAAGCTGCGGTCTTGCGGCGGCCAAAAGTGGGTGCGCTTTTGGCGGTGCGCGCGGTGTTGGGTCTTGCTGTGCAAGTGTTTCGGGAGGGTTTCACGACCCTCGTGTTGTACCGGTTTGAGCTGGACGCGCGGCAAAACGGGATGCTCATCTCTTACCAGGCAAGTTTTGGCTTCTAACCAGGCTGATTTCCAGACTGAGTGTCAGTTTGTTTGACAAACAATCCGGCGTTAATCTTGTTCCGGGGCTGGTTAAAGCCCAGACCTGGTTACTGAACATATAAACATCATTTGACCAGCCATAATCAGCCCATCACCATCTATGGTTAAGGGCCAAAATCTCGTGTCATGTTTCTTCTTCCTCCCTGTTGGGTCTTGCGCTTTCCTCAGTTTCCTGCTCAGAAGGTGGCGGAGTCGGATGACTGGCGGTCAATGTTTCGACCTTGTTCGAAGCACAAGATGCACGGTTCGGACGTTTCTGAATTGCCAGGTTCTCCTACGGACTGCCTTTAGAAGTTTCGCAAAACTGTGAAGAGCGTGTTGGACGAACGGCACATGTAAGATGAAATCCGTGTTAGGCAAGTCGTTTGCATTGCATACGATTCCCTCAGAAGAACGAGGTCTTGCAACGCAGCTTGCTCCAGCCTTTTCTGGACTTTGACTGTGCGCCCCATGAGTCAATCTCGGATCGGGTGCGGAACGTCGTGAGCAGTCACAGCTGGCTTCGAGTTGCGTGCCGCGTCACTTGAATCTGAAGACGTATCAGTCTCCGCTGGTAAAGAGTGCTCCTGCGGTTTCATCGTCCTTTGTCTGCCAACTTAGTTGAAAGGACAGCCGCCGAGTCGTTCGAAATAACATATTAACGTAATTCTCATCAGCTGAAGCAACGACTGTCCTTCAAATATTCATACCAACACTTGACCACTCGTCCACTGAAGGAATAAGTGAACCCACAGCTAATCCGCTCTAACCCGCCCTTAACCACTCTGACCCGCAGTCTTCTTATGACAGGGTTTCCTAACCACGCTCGTTCAAGGCTTCGCCATTCGTCCCCTCGTCGCGTCATATCCCAAGGAGGGGTTCCTCATCCAGGCCGGCATTACGTCACTTGGCCTTGCTTACGTGGCAGCCTCCCTGGGCCCCTCGATCCGGTCGCTCGTCGTGCTGTTGGCGCCCGTCGCGCTCGCGGGGGGTGTCGTGAGAACCACCTTCACGGCCCTGCTGACGTCAGCGGTGCCATCCTCGGAGGTACGTGTCCAACGCGCGTGTCGCTCGTCCACGGACTGAATCGGCTCCTTTTTTGTTCGAGCACCGGTGAGAACCCCCACGGACTTGCGAAGAGCGAGCGGTGCAAATCAAGTAAACGTAGATCGTAGAAATAGCATGCCAAAGACTCGCAACCGAGTTTTCACTTTAAGAAGAACTGAAACAATACAATCTGCTGAGTGCAAGATTCTCGTTCTCCGTATGAGCGACAGTCTCTCTTCAAATCGACATTTGCGTATAACTCTCCAACCAGACTTCTGGTGGAGGTATGACCTGCAACGTAACTTTCTGGGACTCTGAGTAGCTCGTTTAACTCACGCAGTGCGATCGTCACCTGCAGGTCGGTCAGTTATTGGGTTTGGCGGACACGCTGATGTCCACGTGTCGAGTTTTGGGACCGACTCTAGCGGGGCTGTTGGTGACGCGGCTAGGCACGACGGCGCCCGGCTTTGTCAGGTAAGTCTGGCGAACAATCTTCTTACGACGTTTTTCGTCGCTGCATTTTCGACTTTCTGTCTTTTGCCCATGATTTGGATGGTCAAAACGTTCTTTGAGCCGTGACTTCCGTTTGAGGAGGCAGCTGCGAAGGAGAGCGACAAGGCAAGATGGTTTTCAACGCTTCAAGAATCGTTGGAGGGGAAGTAACGGGCCCGACGTGGTGGACTGTTCCGGGACGGATCAGGAAGCCGTTTCATTTGTGCGCAGAAACGCTGTTTTGGGGCCTGATTATATTTCGAAAGTTGGTCCCCAGCCCCGATGCTTGACGCCTTAACGTCGATGCTGCACCTCGTAACGGTCAGGATTTGATCAGAGTGCATATTCAACCTCGACGGAGTACGTTAATGCTGTCGCCACTCGACTTCCAGGAATCATGATCCTTCCTCGCACCCTTTGCGGTATCGTCTTTTTCTGAAGCTTTCCCAGAATTCTGCTGTTTCCTGTACGGAGTCGATACGGCCTGTCTGTCGTTTGACGGCTCTTTTCTCCCTCCTTGCGCAGCGGTATGCTGGTGCTGCTAGCGGGGGTCCTCTTCCGAGCCCTAGGCTGCGGCCAGCCGTCGCCCAGAAAAGAGAAAGACATACCATAGGCGAAATGACGGATACTTGCCGTGCTTGCGAAAGATGGTGCATTAGTTCCACTAATCGAGCCTTTGATTGGACAGTCTACGAGAGGAAAGAAATCACAGGACAGCCAGCGTTCCTAGAAGTCAACGAAGTCTACAGATGAGTCTGATGCCAGTGAGCACGCGTAGCAGCTGTCGTCTTGCTGGGTAAGCGGCCCCCAAGACTAGCAGTGACACGGTCGAAACGCCAGGACTTTGACGGAAGGGTAAATGCCTCTGACAAATCTGAATCTGTTCAGAGTCATAGGCCAATCATTTGGGGACAATCCGAATACAGGCCCTGCATGCAGGGAACAAGTACTGCATATTCATACACAGAGCGTGAAGTGTGGCGGGGCAATGACTTGGTTTCTTAAGCATAACGGAGTATGGAACAAGGGTTCCGACTCAGACGTCAAGTCAACATGATTTGGAAGATTCTGAGTTGTCTTTCCCGTGATCGAGTCAGCCAGCGCAAGCAGCGTTCTATGTGATTCAATGATTGTCCTTGCCCACTGTCGGACACTACCAGAGCTAAGCTGAAATCTTGAGTCTACCTGCACATTTTCTAAAGTTGGATTCTATCGATCTTCGTTTTGGCGTCCCTCAGCTTTAGTACAAGCTGCTCGTTGAGCTCCCAGCGCCGCTGCGCGTGCCACCGTTCGTGTCCTCCTCGAGCCGGAAGTCGCCCGGCAGGCTCGCCCCGAGCGCTAGCTTCTGATTGACCAAGTCCACAAGATGCCGAATAATGCACCGGCGCGAGGCCCTTCTGCGGTGCCCGGTACGAGTCCCCGGGGGTCGCCGCCTAGGCATAGTGACAATCCGGTCCGACTTACGTCGTCATCAGACTTCACTCTAAATTGTGATGACTGAAGGCAACACATCAAAGCTGGTGATGATAAAGTCGCTCATAGCTTTGATTCCCTTCACTCGTAAGGGGACAGTCTGTTCCAAGATCGGTACATAGAGGCTATGGAGCCGTTGAAAGATATGAACGAGTTATACGGGCTGAAGCGGACAGGGCTGGCATGTTCAGAACTTTCACGAGTCTCAGATGTTGAAGGAATGCATGTATGATTCAAGTCGATCGCACCGTGAGTTCCCTCATGTGATCCGCGTGACATTATCTCCCGCGTTTCAATGATGCCATTGACCATTTGGGCTCAATCTAGAATATTGTAACGTTCTAGAGTTGCTCACCTAGACGCTACTGCAATAAGACGTAAGACCAAGTTTCTACCAGCGGAAGTTGAATTACTCAATTGAGATGCAACGATTGTGCACCAACTAGTCAACAACTACCTATCAAAGCATTGCAGCTAGATCCGTCATACAAGCATCGGCAGACTCATACTCGCCCTGGTCTAAGATCCGATCCACACTTTCGTCTTTGAGGGTTCCTGCTTCATGCGAGGTGGTCGGTGAGGACAGCTTAGCGATCCTGTCACTAGCGCTGCCTGCTGGGACTTCATAAGCAGGGTTATTTGTAAAGTCAGCACGATCTTCATCACCCGCGGAAAACAAGTCGCCTACGCTCTCGTGGTACTTCAAAGAGTTTGTGCCCGATAGGAAGGACGACCGGAGAGCCGGAAAGCTTTGGAGGACGTTGACCATCAGGTTCTCCCAGATTATGATCACGACCCCAATAGCAATAGCACAAAAAAGAGTGTACCAGAGGCCAGAAAAGTCTGTTGACTGGAGGGCTCGGTTAGATACCTGAAGAAAAGACGGAAAGAAATGCATCAGACCGTTTCCACGCCTGGTGGTTAAGCTACCAACAACAACAAGCCTTAGGCCGGGCTCTTTGCGAAAGGTGGATTTGGGGTGGATCTACTCGACGGATGGGCAATCAAAGAAGATATTTGAATGTCAACGATGGGCTGCGGACATTCCTGTGCCCTTCGTTTGCAGGCGAGACAACAAGGCTGTCCTGCTCTCGCCTTATGCACGGTAAGTGTATGCGGGCCAATTGACTGATCTTGATCAGACTGTAGGGCACAGGAAATAGATGCATCAGGAAACACTGATATTGCAAAAAGAAGAAGTCGGGGCAGTTGTTGAGCTGGCCGTAGGCAATGACGGTAAAGAAACGAACCTGGCTGCTAGATGTGCAGATGTCTTGGTTTCCGACCCACTTCCTTCGAAGCTCATCCCCAACACCGTTTTGCATGAGTTGAAGCATGGCAACATTGAGCGCCTGTGTATAGGGCCAGCCGCGGCGAACGCCTAGGGCTAAGCCGTTGGGACCAAATAAGGCCCCCACCACTTGCAAGTTGCACGGCAGCTGTCCGGCAATGTGCTGCAAAACGTGACTCTCTGCGATGTATGCAGAGGCCTCGCCCGATTGGACAGCTGCGACGCCGTCCCTGATGCTTCGGACAGTCTGCACGAGGAAGCAGAGCAAGATCATACCACGGCGTTTATTTAATTGCAAACGGTGTTCATCACGGGACCGGGAAAACGAGACCAAGTACAGGCGATGCTCCAAGGCACGAAGCTGAAGAAGTCTAGATTCACAGAGAGGTTTTGAGGTGTCTGCAAGATATATACCAACGTGCAGATTCAAAAGGATTCCGCACAGAGTTTCACTGGGCTGAAAATTCATTGCGAGGAGCATATACATGTCTGAAAGGTCAGCTCAACATTCAAAACTTACAAGCAAGATTCCACAGGGCAAAAGTCCTTGATCATTCGCCGTTGGCATAATGCTCTACGAGCATACCAATCTATACCAAAGCAGCCTCTGAGAGAAGGATATCCAAAAGGTTAATTAGAAGGACAGCCTTGAGGCTGAGTTATCCAACCTTCAACTCATATGAAGGGTGGTGGAGCAAACCATCGCAATAGCATACCTGAAGGCGTGGTCGAAGCTGTTGGATGATGGGGTCGATGCTGTCTTGGAAGTAAGCGAGGGTGGCACCATTGTCCTCGATGACATACTTGAGAGTGGGATCTCTGGCCAGCTGTTCCAGGCTGTTGACTTTTGATGAGAAGTTGTTGACCGTGAGAAACGACGCGAAGCTCGCCTGCAAGAACGACGTTCCGAGTTAAGGTGTGTCCTATGCAAGCGTTCGGAGGCAGGACAATGGATCAAAGCATGCGAAGCATATGTTGGGCACGGGCCCGCCTGTTAGCAACAAGTTTTCAGCCAGCAAACGAAGCTCTGATCTTCTGCACGTAACATCCTACAATCGCTATACGGCTGTGAGACTTCTAGTTGGGGACATCGTAAGGGCACTGAAATGCTTGTCGATCGCAAAGAAGGATGTTGCTATTCCAACATTTCCTTCATAACCAACTTACGGTGTAAGCTGCACCCACGACGACCATGAAAAAGTAGAAGTACAGAATGGGCAGTCTGACTGCCCAGCTTTTGGCCGTGGGGCCTTCGACATTGGAAGACGTGGCAGCCTGCAAGATCAGGACTCGGACGTTTGTGACTCTGCTTCGACTCAAAGCCAGACACACATTTCCATTGCTCCTCATCGATCCACATACCTCACAAGTGCCTCACCCGATGAACCAACTGCCAATGTCGTTCCTTGACTTGCTGGATCCTCTTTCGACAGGACGCTTCCTGGCTTTTTTCTGCTACGTCCTGCACGTTCACTTCTATGCGGAGCAGGGTGATCTGCCAGAATCGCTTTGTCCGTCACAGTCTTTTTGGAAAGGCTGAGCGACTGAGACTTACCTGGAGGATATCCATAAAATAGGAGTCATTCTCTGAACTCAGCAATAACAGATACGGGTCAGTAATGATACAACATGAGATGGCGTCCTCCAAGGGCACAAAATGCAATCTTTTCGCTCTGCCTTGAAGGGGATTCTACAACACACAGCAGCTTCCAAGTCAAGAAAAAGCTTGACCATCTTCCGACAATCAGATTGTTTTCTGTGGGAACTGAATCGCCAACAGTACACAAGCAAATCAAGGCAGAGAAGATCATCACTTGGGTTCTGCCTTTTGCTGAATGATAGATGTCGGAGGCTTGTAAAAGTACCGTCTTACCGCACACCACTTTGAATTCTTGCGTACGGCTTTTAGCAGTCAGGTTCCGTAGCTTGATGAGCTCAAAGGCTCCTAGTGGAGACAGCTTTGCAAAAATCTGGATGAGAACAGGCATTCCAACGACGGTGGCCACAAGGACCAACCAAAGGCTGGTCGTAAAAGGGGCCAGGAAGAGGCTCGAGCTGGCAGCACTTGTGAGCTGCATCGGAGGAGAGAAGCGAAGAAGCGATGAGAGGGCCAGAAAACCCTTCTGATATGATGAAGACTCAAGATTCATGCAATCTGTAAGCAGATGCGTGCCCGCCGGTACTAAGGCATGTCAAAATGGAAAAGGCTTACAGGCACAAAACATCGATTCATCAGGAAAAGATACTGTTAGTTTGTACAGATAATTTATGACTGCCTGCCTCAACCATCAACGTCCTTCTTTTTGTCTCGTTGTGGTAGATGTGATGCTATATGAGCTACAGCGGGAATGTTACTTATTGGATGATGCTTGGGCCAAAGGAATACCGCATGGAAACTGCTTACATCAAATATGTTGCTCACCTCTTGCTTGACGAGCATTTGTAGTCCGAGTTCATCGTAAGTATAAGTGAGGTCAATGACTGAGGAGGGACCAACGCCCCTGGCTATTGGAAACACTGCAATGTCCGCCCGCCCAGCAAGCAGCTCCCCAGTTACTCCTGCAGCCAAATTTTGAGTGTGAGACGAATGTAAGCCTTCAAAGAAGCACGCGAAGATCTTGTGTAGTCTAGCGCGAGCCGCTTAGAGCAAACCCAATCAGATGTTCAGTCTCAGCAGCTTGAAGGAAATCATGACAATCAGTTGTGCTCCTTCCCACACTTGCAAAAGAAAAGAAAGCGTCCGGTACGGGTCCCACTTGGCAGCAAGCTGAAGACGCATTTCTTCAAATCAGCGAATGATGCTACCTGCTTGCCCTAAAGTCTCCTCCTCATCTACTCATCTTTATCTAGGATCCTACTCCACCATTCAAGCACAGTACTACATCTGCCCCAGCTCAGTCTGCTCGCTTATATGGAGGGTGTCCTGAGCTGTAACTTCAGGTCTTCCGTGGAGCGGTCGCTAGTATTCCAAGCTTCTGATTGCAGCTTTTGTCAGCTACTGACTGCTTTCTTCCTAACCTCAATTCATTTGGGATCAGTGTCCCTTCTGCCACGATCCTGGCTGGACCTCGTGAACCTGATCCTTTGTAGGTCCTAGACGCAAGGCCCAAAAGCAAGTGGAGAGAAGAGACCAACAATGGCTAGTCTAGTCTATAGAGTGTTCTGTTCAACAAGAGGAAAACAAGTTGAAGTCAGAAGACTGGTTTCAAATAACACTCGGGTCCATCACAATCCTTGTCTGAACCCACTTTCTCCAAAGAAAGCCCCTCTCACCATTCCAAGTGCCGTTTGGTAGAAGGTCCCCAGCAATAGGCAGCGGCGACTCGTAATAACGGGGAGTCACGGTCAGGTTGGCATACTGGAAGAGCAATGGAACCAGCTCCACAAGCATTCCAAACCACTTGACGCCAGCTGGGTTACTACTTTTGAACACGAAGGGGGGCCGATGGGCTGTCACGAGTCTGACATTTGTCGCCATACCACACTAGCGAGTGTTTGACACAGCAGACGATCACCAGCTGGACCCTATTCAATATTGATTCACTTTGCGTCAATCTCCAACTATCTTGATCGACTCTGGTGTCTGATCTGCTTCCTTAGTTCATTCCTCTGCATGCCGTCCCCTCCTGCCGTGCAGCCTTCTGACATAAGCTGGCTGTACCTGTAGGATACATACGCTGTGACTGTAGCGCAGCAGAGACGTTGCTGCAAAATCTCTTTGGAGTCTGGACTCTGGAGAGGCCGGACCTCCGTTGAAGCTGGCGTCGCCCCACTGTGTCGCTCAGCGTCGCTTGCGTGCTTTTGAGTTCTTGCGGAGGTGGCAGCAGGCTGGCTGTTCTGCGTCCTGCCAAGGATATCGTAAAGAACCAGACACGTCAGTGTGACGCCATACACGGTCACAGCCTACGACTTACAGGATCGACTTCAAAGTCGCCACGAACCGGTGTGCTGGACCTGGCCGGCAGAAATGACAGATGCACCGGTGCCGAAGGGACCCCACCGGCTGGACAGCCGGCAAAAAATGCTGGGCGCCTAGGCAAAACCGGCGCCCGGTGCGGCCGGGCGCCGGTAGCCTGTGTGGCCAGCCGGTAGACAGCCGGCACCGGTGAAAGTTGGGTGGCAAGTCTTGGGGCCCAGTCTCCCAGAACGGTGAACCCCTGCTTCATTCATCATTGCCTGAATTAATTTCTTCAAGTACGGTACAACGAATCAACATTTGAGACGTCACTTTCGTGACTCGTCAGCAGGCTGCCCGACCGTGAGAGACCGGCAGGTACGCTGAGTGGGCGCGAAAACCGGCCGGGGCCCGGGCTGCTGGCCGTTCGGCTCAGGCTTACACAAGCAGCTGGCGAGCCGCTTTCGACGGAACGTGACAATGTAGTGGCGCGGCGTTTTCACACCACCTCGTTTTCAACAATTATTATTTCTCTCTTCTGATTTCATACAACTCTCTTATTAAACCCCTGGGCCCTGGTCAAACCTCCTGTTATTAAAGAGAATAACAAAGCCAGGCAACTTTCAGCTCCAATAATTTGGCAACATTTCAAATATAATTATTTTTGGCGTGAAAAAATCGTGCCACTGACTACGGATATACGGTATAAGGATCCGGCGCGGGGATCCCAATGACGTCAGAATGTCGCTTCCAGTTCCAACGTTCTTGCCACCGCATCCCACTTCATTGTTGACATCAGGATTCAGCCCTTGGGGCGCTGTCCCCTGCAGCCTTCATTGAACTTGAAGTTCAGAAGCCCCTCAGGCTGGGCCGCCTGGGCAGGCTGGGCCAGCAGCAGCAGATCAGAATCACAGCCTAGCTCCTAGCTGGCTGATCAGGCTAATATAGGAGTCAGGGCCTCCTTTCCTCCTCGCCTACTAGTACTATATTACTTGGAAGAGACTCAGGCACGCCCCAGACTGTAGGAGCCCAAAACGGGCGAACCTCATGACCCTTTTGTGCAGCTAGCTGTGCTTATTCCGCCGCCTATTGACCCTCACGACGCTATTACCCTTTCCAGCCGCAATGCAATCAATGAACAGCACAACCGCCTGATCTACAAGCTGAAATAATGTTAGCCATTCCACCTGCAAAGAGAGCTCGCAACTCCACTGGACATAGCTGTGGGGCTGCTTGCGTGAAAACCTTCTTTGCCTGTACTCCTGCAGCTTCCACTCACTGAAAAACACGCAGCTAGGCCTGAAAGTCTACAGCAAACGACTTCTGCAAAGCCCAATATGGCAGCGCCCTATAATGCGACGATTTTGCGGGTTGTAGCTGCGGACCGGCCCCCATTCATCTACTCCAACTCCTCCTCTCCCTATGGCTGGTCTGGTCTGCTGGTAGATCTCCTGCCTGTTGTGCTCGCTTTGGCTGGGCTTAATGCAACATTGAAGTTCCACAAGTCGCCAAGCAACACCGGAGGCGTCCTCCAGAATGGGACTTGGACAGGTGAGTGTCAGCGTGCGGTTGCAGCATGGCAGAATGCACATGCTGTTGCTGCTGGAGGCTGACCCTGCAACCAGACGGGAATTGAGAAAGGCCGCTGGGTGTGTGACCTGACTGATCACACGGTCCTTTAAACAGATGCTGGAACCATTTGGGATGAGCGGATCATCTAACCTGTCAGCTTGTTTGGGGGGCAGCGTTATGCTCTACCCCGCTCAATGGCTGTGTTGCTATAAGCGGACCCTATTACTTTAGGTTGCATCCATAACCACCCTCTAGTGGTCATCCTTCAGTCTGCACTCAGGGATGGAGCTCTTGGGTGTTGATCTGTGCACGCCGAAGTAGTCTTCCTCTCCATCATCACAGAGAGGGTTTTGAATAGGCCTGCGCTTCCACATGGAGCTGCCTCTTTTGCACCCTCAGGAACTGCGCTGCTCTTGCACTGCCACTTTCTGACCAATCTTTCCCTGTGTATCTCCTGCCAGGTGTAGCGGGGGAGATGATTTATGGTCGTGCAGACATCGCTGCTTTCCCTTTCAGTCAGAGTTGGGAAAGGCTTCCTTTCATGGACTTTACTTTCCCCTTCGATGGGCGAGGGCTTGCCATCCTGATCAAGAGGCCGGTACGGACTCTCCTTGAAAGCTCTGCAGTAACAAGCGCACTGCAAGTCTTAGCACTCATCATGAGGTGTTGGAAAGAAGGTAACCAGCATATTGTTGGTTGATGGGACGCGCTGCATTTGACTTGCTGAGTAAGCTGCCTGCGTCTGTCAAGCCATCCAATCTGACCTAGCTTGCTTGGGGCGATTCTCCTTATCCTTTGCTTTGCCGCTGTAGGGGGCCTGCCCCTTGCTGCCCCTTCCCCCTCCTTTCAGCACTCCCAGCTGAGGAATTGATAATTTTACTTGTGCAGATTGCATCAGACGCTGCCTCAGTCTTTACCAAGCCCTTCGCACCTTCCTTGTGGGTTCTTGCGGGTTGCACAGTGATTGGCTTTGCTTTGGTGTTAAATATCTTGAGCTGGATGTCCCCTCTTGGGAACTACAAAGTTGTGCGGATCCGGAACATGAGGACGCAAGCGGAGGAACAGCGCTATGTGCTACAGGATAGTGAGTATCTTCACCTTGAGCAACTGTACCAACTGAGTTGCCGTGGTCGTACAGCTTCAACTAGATCTAGCTTGCAGACTTGGTTGCATGCAGACCTTGAGTGATGGCCTACCAACGCCGCTCGGACAAGGGCCTAACTCTTGATGTCGCCTGTTGCAATTCAGAAACTGAACACCTCTAGCACTTTGTTACGCAACCTGACAAAGGTTGGCAGATCCTTGATACTCCTGCTTTTGTATGCAGCCTCCAAGTCATACCTAGTGGACGTTCTTATGGTGAGTGAGCAGAGGCGCATTTTGAGTTCTCCGCGCAGATTAGAAGCATTGAGTGGCAATGAGTCTGGAAATGCAAAGATAAGTTTTGAGGGCTCCAGTCAGTTGAGTAGCTGATGGTGTAAAAGCATAGAAAGCATGTTCTTCTGGAAGACTGTGGGGACACCAAATAGGGCCTTAGGAGGCTGAAACTTGCACCAGAACAGCATCTTCGGAGGCTCCAAGTCTTCCAAACACCTCCTTTTTATAGGATTCCTTGTCTCTTGGCAACTCCGTAGGCAGTGTACACTACTGTACAAGCCAATAGGCCGAGAGTTCATATGTATTCATTTGGCCTCACGAGATTCCGCTTGCTTGCTTCTTGCAGACCCTCAATCAGAACGCCCCCATGCCCCGAAGCCGATCTTGGTCCATCCGCATCTCAAGTGCTGGGTTCTACTTCTTCATGATCATCTTGATCTCTGCATACACGGTGAGGTCGTAAAGGCTCTCGTGAGCTTGTCATCATCTATTTCTACAGCTTATCTTTTAAAACGGGAATCCTCCCCCTCACCACCGTTTTGCACTTCTGATTTATTGCTGTGGCCTGCTAATTCTCTAAGACGATGGAACACAACTGGTGGAGATTGATGACATGTTCAATACTGCCTCCGTGTCCTTTGCTTGCAGGCAAACTTCACCTCTGTGCTGACAGCCAATCAGCTCATCCCAACCGTTACTAGTTTGCAAGATATCCTCAGGAGTAATGAGAGTTTCGCAGTGAATTCCGGGGGAGGCTACTACACATACATGACACAAAGCACTGACGCACAGATCCTCACTCTTCAGCCTCAACTAAAGGTAAACACTATGGTTCGTTCATTTCTCTGGCCCCTCGAACCTCTTAAATGTTGCTAAGGCTCCCATAAAGAAGTTGAGGTACTAAGGCCCTCTTCGAGTGACCTCAGCTTGACTCGGTTAGACATGTACGGAGTCCTTCAGGCTGAAAGTCTTTTCATGAAACAGCTAGCACCAATGATTTCGCTTATGATGACCGTGTCTTACATGACGCCCAATTGGCAGTCTGTTGCTTGTGTTACCTTTCCAACGAGCCGGCCTGCTCAACTGCTCAACTCACTCGTGACCTGCTCTACAAGTGTCTGCCGCGTCTGACAACAGCCTTCCAACCTATCAATCAGATGCTGCCTTTCTTTTCATTTTTTCCCTGTCTTCGTCTACAGACGGCAAACGCAACGATAGGCGGTGTGGAGGCCGTTCGCTCAGGACGCGTTATCGCATACATCACAGAGTTGCCATCACTTATCTACTTCGCAGGATTAAAGCCTTGTGATTTGGAAGTTGTTGGTACCCCGTTCGGGCCTGCCGTGCTTGTCATGGGCTTGCAAGTAAGTCAGACGAACTCAGGCCTTATGTCTTCACGTATCTTTAGGTGGTGATTGGACTTGACCACTTCAAATTCCACCCGTTGTTTTTGGCTAATCTAGAAACAAGAAAGTAGCGTGTCTAAATCACAGGATACCCTTGCTAGTCTAGTATGCTTCTTCTGCCAACGTTTGCAAGATTTATCTTACAAAGATTCGTGATTTGGTGCAGAAAAATTCTTCGTACACGAAACCAATAAATACAGCGATGGAACGTCTCAAAGCGAACGGCTATTTAGACACGTTGAACAACAAGTGGATCTACAATAGCAGTCAATGCGCATCCATATTGGGGCAGGTGCGTCTTCAAGTCATGTAGTCCAGGACATGTGCGAGTCTCATGTCATGCCCTTGCACGTTGTTCATCGCTTCTGAGTTCAAGCTCCAACCTTTATTGACGTCCTTCATTGTAGCAGCCGACACGTTTGCATAACAACCCAATCAATGTGACCATCGTGCCTCCACTTGTGAGCAAAGCAAGGCACAGTCGATCTCAATAGTTTGTCCCAAGTCTCTGATGAAGGTCCACAAATGTTGGCACTTCCATAAAGGTGCAGCTTCTTTATTGGCTGCAGGAGGATGAAGCTGGGGCGTTGTCCCTAGACGATTTCAGCGGACTCTACCTCGTTCTACTCCATATTATCTTGATTTCATCCCTGTGGGTGGCGTTTGAAAAGTCTGCCCTTGTAGTGCTTTCGCGGCATCCAAGGCTGGCTGAGAATCTTGCCGCTCTCAGGGCTGCCTTCAGGCGTAGAAAGAAGAGGTTTGATCTTGTGAGGGCCTTCTCACAGGTAAAAAGTTTGTCAAAGAGAAAGCCCTTTCTGGGAAAAGGCCGTGCAGCCCCTTCTGCTGATTCTCAAGAGACGAAGGTCGAACGGTTAGCCCGACTTGCTGTTGAGGTAGTCGACAGAGAGGCTAGGCAACACCAGTTGCATGCAAAAGCTGCTAGACCCGATTCCGACGATGCAACCTTTGTAATATAGCTTGTGCTTGAAACCTGCATTTGGCTAGGCTCATTGCATGCATGCTTCTTGCACGGTATATACATCCAATTTATTCAACAATTGAGAAAAGCTACATTCCAGGCCACTCCCAAGAGCATCTCGACATGGTCAGCATGGTCCAGCAGACTATCAATACTTATGTCGGTAATGCTAAAACGGTTATCCACAACGATCCGTTGACTGGCTGTGGCAAGGGCTTGGATGGGAAAGCCACTGCGCACAGCTTGTTGTCTCTCATGCATCCTAGTCGACGTGTACAGCATGGATTGCCGGCCCGAATCCGAGCACGTGTGCTGTTGCACTTAGTAGAGCCCCCCGCCTCACCCTGTAGCTCCTCGATCCTCCCTCTCATGGAAGGCTCGAGCATTCAGTTGCAGGCCGCGGATTTGTGACAGCAGCTATAAGCTAGACCAAAGTTTCCATATGTAGGCCTGCAACTTAGGTGTTGTCTTACTACAGAGTCACGAGACCGCTAACAGTGCAAATTGGTGGCGGGCGGTTTACCGGGCTATAGCGCGGAAATATGTCTCGGGCGCCGTAGCAGTTAAATTTTGCCGTGCGGGCCCTCTGCCCGAGTTCCGGGTGCGGCCAAAATCGCCCTCGGCAGCAAATCGGCCCGACATGCGGAGCTTTTTGCTCGAGTTTAATCTTGGTTCAAACGCCCCGAATGCCACGGACCGATCCTGATACAAAAAGTAACGCTTCAGTCACGCTAAGTTAACAGTCTGCTCAAGGTATAATACTTACCAATCTTCAATGCCTATAGTGCCCTGGACCGTCTCGGTTGAAGCAGATTTACACTTACAAGTACTCGGGACCGCTACGCGGTGCAAAATGCTTAATGTGGGAGTCGATTGGGCAAAACGTGTCCGTGTGTACACCGAGCGTCAGGCTGCTTAAACAAGCAAAGTCATAAAGTGAAACTGGGTGCTCGGGCCGCCCGACCGCAACCACAGGGACTGCATCCAAGGAGTCGCTGAAGCACGTAGAAATCGGGGATAATAAAAGAAGACCCTGATACTGCTATAAGTGGATGATGAGTGGTGCGTTGAAGTTCGTGTAGGGCGCAAATTGGCCGGCTTAGTGCATGGGCACCCGTATCTTGAGCCTGCCTGCCTGAAGCTGGTACGCACGTGCTGGGACCACAACAAGCGGTGGAAGATAATGGCGCATATCTTGACTGACAGTACCCCAAGACAACCTTCGTCATCTCACTGTCAACGTGTTCGAACCTAAGCTGTACTATATGTGCATTTCTTTTCTACTCAAAGCACTGTCAATCTCGTCACTGCCCGTTCATGTATGAAACGGCGTCATTTTCCTGCCGCTAGCAATTTACTTAACCCAATGGAAACTGTACATGGAGCACGGACCGCTTCCATGCTCTCTTCTCACAAGCTTGACGTGTTCTTCTTCGTATGTATCAGACGCCCTCGTTTGCTGAACAACCCCCTTACAAGTATGCTTTAAGTCGAAGTACACAATCTCAACCAAACTACTGTAACCTGGTCGTCCTTTCAAGCGTTCTCAATCGCAAACCTTTCTGAGTCCAAGGACGGCTAGGAGCACACCCCAGTAATCACCCCTCATCAGAGTCCGAGTAATGCTTTGCTTCTTGGGGGTGTATGGAGGGTACCGGATGTCAGCATCGAAGGCGAGAACCTTCCGGCAGACCGCCTTCTTGTGGCTGAAGGTTTCAAAGGTGTATTTACCGTGATATGCACCCATTCCGCTGTCTCCGACTCCGCCGAACGGAAGTCCGGCCACGCTAACCTGCAAAACGGAGAAGTTGCCCATGCTAGGTGAGGAAGTCAGATGACACGCGCAAGACGACCGAAACTGGGTGGCAAATGTCGTGTGCTCGAAAGAAGCCACCTCGATCACTGCGCCTCAGCACCAAGCACTTGGGCGGACGACCAGACTGAGATGTCTACGGGAGACTATAATCTTCTCGGACAAGAGAAGGAATAAGAGAAGATATACATACGTCATCGCAACAATTTTGACATTGAAAACGACAAAGACAACAGTCCAGAATTGTGCGAGGTGATGTGGTCAGCGACTCGTCCTGTGCTGCAATAAGGAGAACCAGTACGAAGAAAGCAACACAGGCGGACAACCACGAAATCGGTTTATAAACTCCTGTCGTTGAGCATTTTCAATATTCAGGGAGGGGCAAGCAAACGGAAAGCAAACAACCCCTTCGTCAGGGGATAGGGTCCAGTTCTGCTGCCACGTCAGCAAGCAAGACACCGGTCCTTACTTGGACGACTGTGTCGTTGACGCAAATGGAGCCGGACGACGTGTTGTGGATGAAGTGCTCCGCCACGTCCTTCTTGTCCGTGAAAACGTACAGCGAGAGGGGCTTGGGCCGCTCCAGAATGTACTCGGTTGCATGGTGCATGTCGCGAACCTGGGAATCAAGAAATTATCAGAACTCCGTCCAAAAACTTTTTAAATTACTGAACACAACTTTCGCTCCGCAGTGCCTGTCGCGAACCTGTAAAGAAGACATGCTCGGACACCTGCATTAGGGAACGTCGGCAAGGGTGGAGGAAAGCATAAGGGTACAACGTTCCGTGGTTCACGTCCGGAACCCTCACAAAGAGACATGAAGGAAAGGCTGCTTAAGGAAAAAACTCGACGAGCGTGGGAATGGTCTGAGCGCTGTACATGTCGCGAACCTGGATTAGGTCAAAAAACGGCCTTTGAGACACCTCGACAAAGGTGGAGGAAGATCTGAAACGTACATCGTGAATCGGAACACGAAAATAAACATGAATGACGGGCTTTGGAGACCTCAACAATCACAAAGAGCACAGAGCGATTGATCAAGCCAAAATCGCCTTGCATTCATACTGAAATACGCGAACGACTGGGTGCGTGGTACGGTCGCAAGCGAGAGGCCAACTATCAGACGTTGATAAACGAGGCAACAGCCCTTGATTCATTCCTCCGACTTTCTCGAGACGCTTGCCTGCGACACTGTTGACGTATGCTCCATCGACGTCAGCCTACCCTCCCTTGCTGCTCGATGAAAAGGTTACTCCAAAAACCTTATCAACTGATCAGAACAGTTTAAACTTGTGCGCTCAATAAGTTTGCAAAAACTGCAAGTTCAAACCCTTTCGACAACGAGGATATCTCTGAAACGCAGCATGTGCTTGCTGCGCCATTGCGAGAGAACAGAAGAAACGGCCGTTTTGGGGCTGTGAGGCTGTGAAAAGGACACACGAAGCCCAATCACGTAAGAGATTCAAATGTTTTCAACTGCTCACGCACTGCCCAAGCAGATGCGTCTACGTGTGACACAAAACACTTGGAACATCTCTGCTACAGGCATCGTCTTCAGTGAGACATGTTGTGGGAAGCGTCGCAGCATGCTCATAGATAAGCACGTGTTTCACCAAAGAGACATACGCGGTTCCAAGCAAAAGGGGGTTAAGAGACCGGGGTTTTGAGAAACTTACGATTTGGATCGGAAGGATGGGCCCGAAGATCTCTTCTTGCATAAGCTTGGAATCTTCGGGCACGTTCTTCAGGAATGTAGGAGCAATATATCTGGAAGGAAGTGAAAAACGATTTGATGCCCAGCACTTGCTTCTGGAGACGAATCTCAACCGCCTGATTGACAGCCCGATCTTCAGATAACCACAACATCAACCTTCCGGAAAGCACTTTGCGCCAGTCGTCGAGCACCCAACAATTCTAGAAAGCTCACACCAAATCCTACTTCACGGAACTGTAAACCCAACACTAACCACTTTCCAAGCTGGGATGCCGTCCGCCGATTCCATTCCTTCTAGCTGATCGTTCCGGGAGCCCAATCTTTGCACTGGGATTTCAGATCCAGAAAGGAGCGAAGTGGCCCTTACTTGGTGGCCTCGTTGCGCTCCCCTCCGTACACGATGCACTTTTTGTTTTGTGGCGTGTCTAGTTGGTCCACAAGCCGCTGCCACTGCCGCGCGCTGATGATGCGCGCAAAGTCGGCGGACTTCTCGGGGTTGCCGACGTAAAACTCGTCCACAACTTTCTGCATAAACCAAGGAGATCGAACCTTTCAGGGTCTTTTTGCGACACACGTGTGGCTGTTGCGGCGCAATCAAAAAGCTGTGCTACCTGCGTTGACAAAGTCGTGGCAGCTTTCCTTCAGGGTGACTGATATCAGCTGTACGTACGAGCTTCTGAGATGCAGAAGCGTCGCAAATCCCTTCAAAATGAGAAAAGCTAAAGACTTCAGGAGTTTTGAGTATCTATACAACTGCCGCAGGTCGTACTTCTCCAAAGGCACTTCTGCCGTTTGTTCTACCAGCCCCAGCGGACGCTGACAAACGAGCGCAGGCTTTGAGACCGTGAAGGCGCAGTCATGGTTCGCTGCATTTCTGGCCCCGAAGTCATTGTCGTATGTCCAAGCACAAGAACTCAAGCATTCGCTAGCATACACACTAACTCAGGCGCATCACACAGATCAGAACACTCACCTTCAACGCCTCAATCAGCTTGTCTGCGTTGGCCTCCTGGACTAGGACGTAATCGGGGGCAGTGCACGTCTGACCGGCGTTTAGCAGCTTCCCTCCCAACATACGGCGCGCCACGGTCTGTAAGAGGAGATGAAAAGGATATATCGTCGCTACGAACAAAGGAGCCCTTGTGACAGGGACTGGACTCGCTATGTCTTACGGATGTGTTCGAGATGGGCCACTAAAACAGAGTATATCGGCGAATCTTTACAATCCCCCAAAGGCTAGACAACCAAGACTTGCAATGCGTTTTGACAAGGCTGTGTGTAATCAACGTCAAAGCACGAAGCAGTAAATACGAACAACGACAACCCACTAAGGGGCTCGTAGATAAACAGACTCTCTTCAAACATTGAAGCCGACATTCACAAAGCCTCCAACATAACCCAAACCCTCAGGGAAATACAGAAGTTGAGGCCCTGCGTTTATGCGGACCTGATCCGATCTGACCAATCTGAAAATGAAGCAAGAATGAGCTTCGGACTACAGCATTTGCAATTTCTCAGTCGGTTCCGTCATCTCGTCATCGCTTACCATGTAGTCTCCTACGGAGTCCACATAAGCGGGGCTCTTCCCTCCCAGTTCAAGAACGACCGGCGTCAGGTGCTTGGCGGCGGCCGCCATGATGATTTTGCCCACCGCTGTGCCCCCTGAACACAAAGAGGGGGTGTCAGTCATGATGATTTGGGCCATCATTGTGCCCCCCGAACGCAAACGGGGGGGCGTCAGTTGTAAGAATCTTACCCACCATACACAAAGGGGGGGAACCAGTTGCTGCAATACGGTGGCCGGTTGTGCCCCCAGTCCGCAAAGAGGGGTTCTTTGAAGCTGCATACTCTAAAGCTGCTGAAATTTGGCGCGCATCTAAGCTACGGGATATGATCTTAAGAGGGCCGTTGGCCCCTCAACACCAAATCTATATTTCCGCAACCATAACTGGCAAGATTGAGACAGGGCAAGATTGATGCCCAAAGAAGGCTGCTCAGCCGGGTTCCGAACAAGCGCGAAGTATCGACACCAAGTCCATTGGGCGAATCTTTCGTGAAATCACCATCAACCACGAGAGCCCGTTCACAATCATGTTCTTGACATGGCAAATCCAGTTACCTGTGTAGAAGATATGGTCAAACTTCTGAGCCAGCACTGCGGTGGTCTCCGGGACCCCCCCCTCAAACACCTTGACAGCCTCAGTGTCCAGGTACTTGGGGATGAGCTCCGAAAGAAGGGCGGACGTGTGCGCTGAAATCTCCGAAGGCTTGAGAAGGACGGTGTTGCCAGCGGCGAGTGCACCAATCATGGGCTCAAGCGCCAGCACTGCAGATGCAATCAAAACTCTGATTAGCAATGTTCTTTAACTATTTCTAGAGGGCATGGTGATATGGAAAAGGCTATAACCAGACACAAGAAGGCAGATACCTATTGCCCCCCTTCTTTGCCGAAGACGGTCATCTGAATCTTTTGGTGAAGCCTCTGTCCAGCAACGAACTGCAATCTGCTCCAGGCCACTCTCTCACCAAACCCTTTATCTGCAGATGTGGCTGCCTGTGCATGCTCTTATTCGGGGCAAACTTTGTTGAGCAACGCTTCCTGGAATCAATCAAATATATTCGTTCAGCTCAGCTGCTCTTTAAGAGGCAGTTTTATTTTCGGACGCTATATGAACAGGAGAATACAGTTGCCTGGAGGTTCAATGTTTGACAAGCTTGTGACTCACGAGCTGGATAATTCCATGGAGCAATGACCAAGCAAACCCCGAGCGGCTCCGCATAGATCTCGTTTGTGGACGGGAATACCAAGACATTCCCGGCAGTCTGCGCAAAAAGCAACAAACAATGTGAGAGCTGGATGCTTGGAAACAACAGCAGTCGAAACAGAGGCCGGAGCTTTTTGAATATGTTAACCACTGACTCAATGGATCTCATCTTATGCAAGCAGAAAGTGAGAGGTATCTATCTGCGAATCCGGGGAGTCAAACCATGCAAAGCTCCGCGGAATGCCAATGCGGCACTGCTCAATCTTCACTTGAGTAGCTTTCAGTCACTTCTCTTTGTCGCAGAGAGGAACTTCAAAGACCAGGTCAATGACTCTCTGATGAGTGGCTAGACAGGCGTTCCACATGCTACGCTGGGGGGAAGCAACAAAATTGTTCAGGGAATCCAAACTCATTTAGTCAGCAAATTGCAAAGCTTTTACCTAAAAAGAGTCATTGGAGAGCATCTCATTATCGACTGAGTCAACGCCAAAGGAAGACAATTGTTATATCTCAGCAAGCTAAATCCTGGAAGTTCAACAGGATAGAAAGGAGGCAAGGACCTGTGGGCCTCACCGTTTGTGGTTTCATCCACTTGGGAAGATTCTGGATCATCTCCCCCGCAACATTGCAGACCCCATTCAACTGCATAATTGTGCAACAAGCCTTGTGGTACACAAATATGAGTTGATGTGAACGTTTTAAGGGGGAGCGCTCTCTTAACAAGCCCCCAGCGCTTTCAACCAGTCATGGAGTAGAAGCAGAGTCTACGCAGAAAGGCCGAAGGGAACCCAAACCATTCCAGACCTTGTTTCTCCTCAGGATCAGTAGGGGCAAGCTGAAACCATTGCACATGTTCTTGCGACCACCGCGACTCTTCCGCTTGTATGATTGAAGCACAGCAGCTTTAGAATGGAGCATCAAATTGTAAGAATGCTTAGCTCGGACACGATTCGCTTTGTCAGAAAACATTTCTTCAGCACAGGAAGCTACTTAAGCAGAGAAGGAACCGATGAAGGACCAGTCTTCTTAGTAAGGGGACTTTCTCCAGGAAACTGCATCAGCCTACTTCTGAACCAGCTATTCCAAGGGACCCTTTCAGCTGGCAAACCAACAAGAAGCCCTTGATAAGCGACCAGAGACGAATTAAAGTGCTTCAAGCAGTTGTCCTGCTCACCTCTGCTATGATGGTCTCGAAGGGCGGCTTTCCCAAATCTTTAAAGACAGCATCACACAGCGCCTTTTCGTTTGCCCGCACCATCTTGATCATTGCCCTTAGCTGCTGCTTCCTCCATTCAAACGGCCTGGTCTTGCCAGTTCTGAAGGTGCTCCTCAGGCCCTGCACAAGCACTGCCGGATCCATAGCGGCTTTTGTCTTATTGCCGTAAGAGTCAGCAAACCTCAAGTACTTTGATTGCTGCCCTTTGCGACCACGTGGAGCTTGGGTTCAATGGGTTTATGGATTCTGAGAGGAGCAGGTTATTTCGCATCAGGCTGACAGATCGTCATGTGCACCTTCTTCCAAAAAATGGTGCAGGTGACTGCCTCTAAAGAGCCACCCTCCTACTGCCTCTGTCAGGGCCTCACGAATTAGAGTGTCCCTTTCCTCTCACGGCTTCTGTCGCAGCTGCTGAAGACTGCTCCAACAAGGATTTAGGTTTTGGGCATGTGCGGTGCCCCTAAATTAAAAGCATCATGCAGGTTTCAGCGCCTTTCTTGTTTCCTGTTGAGGATTGAAACGTGCTGACGCAAGCGCACCAGAGACGAGACCAGTGTTCGTGGCGAAAATAAATCCTGAAATACACTAAATAGGACCTCCAAGACACTAATTGGCGAAAATGACACTAATGGCGAAAATCCTAGTGGCGGTTGTGGCCGGTAGGGTGTCCCGGCCCTAGAATCTGCCATACCGACCTAATTTTCTTCGTTTTCTCAGAAGAGCTAACTTGACAAAGTACAAACAGAGGTAAGAAACGGGGTTCTGAGCAGGGTTAAGATTCTTCAAAACCGGTGGGAACACCCGAGAATGTAAAAACTGGCTGACGGCCTGACCATTTTCGCCAGGCCGGCGAAATCCCGTTCCCAAACACTAAATGGCGAAAATCTGGCGAAAATCAAATTGGCGAAAATAATTAGTTTCGCCACGAACATTGGACGAGACGCTTCCTGCAATCAGCAAGCTCCGTGAGCCGGGTTAAAAGGGGTTTGGGTAACACAGAAACCCTGGGGTTAACTGCCAACTTTTCCTCCATACCATTTCATCGACCTTTGACACTATCAAGTTGGCAGCATCAGCTACTCATTATCGGCCAAACTTGCCGAAGCAGATGCTTCGACCTTCGAAGAGTAACCATGCAAGGCTAGCAACCAGGGGTTAACAGCAACTTGGTTTGCAAAAACCATCTTCCTCCGGCCAATGGCAACAGCTCGATCGTTCGTTTTTGGTTGAGGAGCACTCGTCAACAACTGTCCTGCAGGTGGAAGGGCGCTTTGAAATTGCGGCTCGCTTTCTTACAAAGCAGGCGTGATAAGCGAGAATTTCATCAAAGAATGTAAGTGGGCTGCCCCGCTTCTACAATTCTTCTGATTTACTCATGCAGAAGACTTATTTAAAAGTTGCAATGCACGCAAGAGCCACATTTCACCACCACGTTTGCATGCCAATTGCTTTATGGTGCATTCAGATCGTTGAAGCCCTCAAGATTGCGCATTTGTCGTTGAAGTGGGGAAAGAAGGAAGAATGGTTGATGGAGGTTTAGTTGCGTCGATTGGCACGTGCAGAAAAGGTTGATGTGCATGATTGCAAGGTTCTTTCATCCTTGCTGGTTGGTATGTCACTGGTCGTATCAGTATAGGAGGGAAGTCTTCGAAAGATTCAACCGATTGATGAAGAACTGGGAACAATGGAAGGAAGCTGCTGACTTATTTCTTGGAAAGGATGTCAGTCAGAGAAGGGCGACTGTAGAGAGGTTTACTTTTGTGTGCGCTCGTTGTAGCTGTTGGAAACTCTCTCCTTAGAGTTCACAAGATCGATACAAAGGCAGCAAACACAACCCCACCCTTGGGGAGATGTAGTGAAGAACCTTGTGTCTTCGATACCAAGTCTGATTATGACTGGATGTCAGAAGTGATCTGATTGATATTACACTGAGCTACAGTCTTAGTATCCACTTATATCAAATCAAAGGGTGGTAAGGACGCTAATGCTTCTAACAGTCAATTACGGCTTCTAAATGCTGGCAGAAGCTCAGTCTTTTCACAACTCCCACAAGCAGGCATGGCCGTCCTGGTCCGCTAAATACTGGCCTGGACGGATTGGCGGCTAACGTGTCAAGTCATGCCCTTCTCATGGCTCAGAAGATGACAATGTACAGATGCATGTGCAATGCAGCTTTATATATTGTCAGTATACACCAGAGGTTCCCAGTGCTGTCAATTTTGTCTTTTCAGAACAGGACTTTCCAAGAGCAGTGGTGAGATAGATTTTTCTTCTTTGACTTAAGTCTTGATCCAAATGCTTTTCCTATTGTCCGGCAAAACGAAAGTCACATAATCTATGTCATTGCCGATGCGTTAAGTAGAGGAGCATGCTGCAGCGGCGTCTGATAATGTTTCCTTGATTGCAGACCGGAAGAACCATGGCTCGCTTGTTGCTTTTGAGCGGGGTGTTCCTGGTGCTCTGCATGACATCAGCGGTGGCCAAGGGGCAGGAAAAGGACTTTTTTCCAGGCATCCCTGACATCAAATATGAGGTGGGTTGTTGCCAGATTCTCGACATCTGGATTGCTTTGCGGGTCTTGTGGCTGAGTTAGCAAGCATCAGCCGGACTCATCAAACGTATTCAGGCCCTGCTAACAAGCCAGTTGACACTCACTCAATGTCTGGCCAGGGGTACAATCAAGTGTTTGGTGCATTCTTCCAGTGCTTCGCTTAAACCATTGATGAAAAGCTTCATCGGCTGTGTTGATTTAGTGTCTCAACGTGGCACCGCTTATATTGAAAATTGTAATTCAGTCTGCCATAGATGATATTTCCAGCAGGAGTTTCTGGATGTTTTGGACAAAATGTGTATATATCTCGAGCTAGGATGCCCTCATGACGGTCATAAGATAGAACCCGTTGACCTGAGCACTATGAAACTTGCTTGATCATCACAGTCAACAAAATGACAATTTTCTTGACTTGAGATCTGTGTTGGTGCCTTGGAGCAGTTTCTATGCCCGAATCGGATTCTCTCGGAAAGTTTTTGTTGATAATCTGGCGTGTTTTTTTTCCGCAGGGCCCTTACAGTCGCAACCCACTGGCGTACAAGTACTACAACGCAGAAGAGGAAATCCTGGGGGGGAAAATGAAGGTAGGCTCGCCCCTTAGTGCGTTGAGAGCTCTGCGGATATAATTTTCTCAAATTTCAGGTCTACTAAGCCGTAGCATACTTTTGGCTTAGGCGTTGAATGCTTTTGGCTCATTGACGTCCATATGTCATCAGCTTCGATGGGTTTACTCCATATTCTACAATTATTTGTACGAGTTATGAAAGGCAGCGGATTCCCTCGGCCCAATACCAAGTCGTTTTTGTCTGTGTCCGTCACAGTACACAAGAATTGGACAATGCTTCCAAATAGCTCAAAAGTCTGTCCAATATACAAGGACCCGCTTCTGCTTGCAGGACTGGCTGCGTTTCAGCGTCGCGTTCTGGCACAGTTTCCGTGGCGACGGCTCAGACCCCTTCGGATCGCCGACCCGGCAGTGGCCCTGGGACGACGGTACAGAGACGCTCGAGACGGCCTTTACTAGAAGTTCGTCGCCTACCATTTCTATTTTGTTTGTGTATGTGCGTCGTTTCGAATAAGTAGTCTTCTGAGTCGAGTGTATGCGTCCTTTCGTGTAAAAGCATTCCAGCTGTCGTGTGTGTGTCCCGTCGTTTTCATTTGGTGAACTTTGTAAAGTCCCGGATCTCTGGCTGTGATTTTTCTACAGCCGACAGATACACTCTATAGAGGCCGGATAGAGACGCTCGAGGCGGCCTTCACCAGGAGTAGGTGGCTCATCTTTCCAAGTTTCTTTTCTGTGTGGTCCGTTTAGGTGGATGTTTTGATGGTCTTTGCTGGCAGGCAGAGTGTTGGTTCCCAAGTTTCTTTCTCGTGTTGCCTGCTACAACCGACCGAGTAAAATGGTCAGAGTGGACCGACCACAGACGTTAGAGGCGGCTATCACCAAGAATTCGTCACCTTTCCATTCCTTGCTCGTTTGCACGTTTGTGTCATTGAGAATGGATGATCTGGTGGCGTTTGTGGGCAGATCAAGTCCTCGTTGTTGGGTTTTGTGTTGCTGAATACAGCTGTTGAAATGACTTCGTCAGAGAACCGGATTGTCAAAGCGTTTGCCAAATTGCTGATTATTATCCCATCGAACTAGTGATGCAAGAAGACCCGTTTTTCTTGAGGATTGCAACCCTCTCCTTTTTACTAGTGTGCGGACACGGCGATGTGGGCAGTTCATCAGAGACGAAGCTTCGATCGATGGCGAGCGGCCCAACTGGGCATCAGCGTTTAGAGCTAGAATTTTGTGGGCTACATTCGATCTTTCGGTCTCGAAGAGTCATAGCCCGAAGGTATTCCGATTGTCTTTGCAGTGCGCGCCAACTTCGAGTTCTTGAAGAAGCTGGGCGTGAACCTGTGGTGCTTCCACGACCGGGACATCTCCCCAGAAGGGCGCACTCTCGAGGTAAGCCCGGTTTATTGGTCTTGCCACCCATTGTCCGCGGTTTGGGCTGCTTTCGTTTCTTCGTTTTTCAATGGCCCATTGCACCTTGGCCGTCAACCGCTTACCCCAGGGCTTTTTTTAATTACGAAAAAGTGATCCCTCTTTCTGAGGGAAGACCCCTCCGGTGGCTGCTCTTTTAAAGGTTCAGGATCAGAGTTCTAAGTCGAAGCCCAAGCTAGTCTCTTGCTCTCGAAGTTAACAATCGAAATCCGTTAGTCACGTTCTTGGTAGAAACGAACGGAATGGTAATGTTATTTCTTCGTTTGTAGCCGTCGAGTTGTGTTCCCTTTTGTGTTCCTTTTTGCCCCCGCAATCAAGTTCAGGCCGATACACTGCCAAGCGTAAACCTGTATTGTACCACCTTCAAACCAGCTATGCCCAAGGCGCTCTTGCGAGGACAAGGCAGCGGTACTGGGTGCCTTCAGTTTCATTTCCCCTTCGCATATCTCTGTGGATACTCTACTTTGCCGTTTCTTTCAAGCCACAGAACTTTTCAGAAACTGTAGGACACGAATACATACTTCGATTGGGTGTTGGACCGCATTTCTCCATTGATCCTCCTCGTAAATCATTTAATACTAGCGTCCCGCAACTTCTCGAAGAATTCATCGTTTCCATTCTGCAGGAGACGAACGAGATGTTCGACCAGGTGGTCGACTTGGCGCTTTCGCTGCAGAAGGGCACCGACATTCACCCGCTCTGGGGCACTGCGCAGCTCTTCAAGCACCCGCGCTACGCACAGGGCGCCGCAACTAGGTGGGGACGCTGCAAAACCTAGTTCTTGATCTTTTCTGTCTCTTGAAAATGGGGATGTGAGTCGCTTGTTCTGTGGTTGCGCGATTCTTTCGAAGCCTGTGCAGCTCTTTAAGCACCCGCGCTATGCGCAGGGCGCCGCAAGTAGGTGAGCAGCACAGGGAAATCTGGGCTGTAATATCGCTTCTAGATGTCGAAGAGAAGAGAACATACTCTCTGCCTCGACTTTATTGTCTTCGCGCTCTTTCCTTGCAAGCTCAAGTACCTGTTATGCGCAGAGGGCCCCAATGAGACGTAGCTGCTTTGTATCTGCTGACGCTCTCATCCTGCGAAAGTATGGCGCTTGCTTCGAAGAGGGCGGTGCTGCGAGAGTACCCCGCTTGACTACCCCGCTTAATTCGAGATTAGTCTGTAACTTGCTGGTTCTAGATTGTATTGGTGCTTTTTCTGTATTATTAGGGCACGTCTTGACCACCCCGCTTAGAGTATTCTTGTTACTTGCTGGTTCTTGATTGCATGCTTAGTCACGCTTCCTAACGCGCAGAGCGCCGTTTCGAAAGGCTGTAGACCTCTTGTTTCTGACCCGGCCTTGCTGCTCGCAGCCCCGACGCCCGGGTGTTCGCAGTCGCTGCTGCTCAAGTGAAGAAGTGCTTGGAGGTAAGCCCGCTTGGAGGCGGACTCCTTAGTCCACAAGGCCCAAAACTTATGTCTTCGTTCATGTCTGCCCGCACCATCAGCCAATAAGTCTCTGAGTCCAAGTGTGCGTTTTTTTTGGCACTGGTCGAAGGTGGAGTAGCTGCAAATTGGCTCCATTCATCAACTACACGCCTGCACTCGGTGTTCGTTGCGATACAATAACCGTAAGCAATTTGGAAACTGTCTGTTCTCCGGTATGGTTGGTGAAACAATCCCCTGGTCCACATGCTCCCTCCTTAACATGCATCTACTTAGAAAGCTGCCGTTGGTGCGTCAGGAAATGTCGTCCATTCACGACGGATTTCTTGTACTTGGCCAACACGTGGTGCTGTTCTCCTTGATTTTCATGGACGATATTTTTCACAGATTTGTTTTCGTGTGATTCTATTGAGTATTGCTTACATGTCGCTGGCTTGCTGCAGGTGACGAAAAAGCTCGGGGGCGAGAACTACGTCTTCTGGGGGGGCCGGGAGGGGTACCAGACGCTTCTGACGACCGACCTGAAGAAGGAGCTGGATCATATGGTGAGCTCTAGTTGCCGGGGTCGCAGGTCTTGTTTCGCATATTCCATTTGGAGGTGAAGAAACGGGAGAGTCGTGACGCTTTGAACTTGTTTTACTCGTCCATATCTTGGAGCAACCTTTGGCTGTGAGTGGATTTGGCGAAGATGAGGGAACGTGAGAGCTTGGGTGTACATAAAAGTAGTCCATGTAATAGTGATCTGATATTGGGAAGAGCTTTACGAGGTTTTCACTTGCAAACGTGCTCATCCCTGACGGAGCAAAAGGCAGATCATGACACGAGAAGTTGACGGTCTTTGTCCTCTTGCAGGCGCTTTTCCTGCGACTCGCTGCAGAGCACAAGAAGAAGATTGGCTTCAACGGTGAGCGACCCAGCCAACTTTACCCACGGTTTCATTTTGTATATGCCTTCATGTAGACTCCTACGATCAGTTAGGTTCTCAGAGCGCGTTTAGGTTGTTCTCGGAAAACGCATTTCGCCAACTAGTTGCTGAGTCTGACGCTGTTCCTTGCTTTGTTAGGGACGCTGCTGCTCGAGCCGAAACCCCAGGAACCCACCAAGCACCAGTGAGTCCCGTCCGCCTCTTGTGCTTCTTGTTTTCGGCCTCGATTGCGATCTGGTTCTCGTCTGCTTTCAACCCATTGCGTTCAATTGCCATACTGCCCTTGCCATACCTGCCCCTACCATACCCTGTTCCTGCTCCTTCTTTAATAAAGCGTACCTTTATTTTGTCTATCCGGTGAAAACTTTCATTTAATCGAGGACCAGATTTGAGGTTTTTGGCCTTTCCGCACCATGAGAAGGAGATGAGATTTGTCAACTTCAAACTTGCTCATATTGCTCAATTTGAATACGGACGCCACTGGCTGCTTCACCCAACTCGCAAATCTGTACAAGGACTTGACTCTCGTTCCTCGTTTCCGGAGTCGACGTCGATCGACATTCATAAGGAAGGGGTGAGGTGCTTGAATCTACCGGAATTTCCCCCAGTCTGCTTAATATGAATGCCTCCCTTCACATCAAGGAGCACTTTACGTGCGATGTCATCTGGACGTACAAAGCAATTCCTGTTCCGTTACGCCCCAGGTACGACTGGGATGCGGCCACAACCATCGGCTTTTTGGAGCACTACGGTCTGGGAGGTGAGTTTTCAGGTTCCGTGTTTTGTTTCCAATCCCTTTCAGTTCCTCCGTTCCAATATTCCAGCGTCTCTGCGATAGCCGTTTCAGCTTGATCCAATTGGAACGCTTCTGCCAAAGTTTGCCCACAGATTTCCACCGAGGGACAGCTGTTTAGACGCATTCTTTCCTGCCTGTGGCCTTGAAAACACGGGTCTGGCTGCGCAAGAAACAAACATAAGGAAGCATAGACCGAGGATTCAATATCACTGGTCATTTGCTAGATTCTCTGCAACTGCTGGTCCCTCTGAAAGCTGCTCTTTCAAACGGGGCCTAAGTTTAACGCACTGGCGCCCAGCAGAAGAGGATAGTTGTTCAAACACAAGCTTCAATAGGCTGTTCATCCTGGCTTTATCGTCATGATTTTGAAATTTCTACGCGTGTCGTCTATGCAGACGAGTTCAAGCTGAATATTGAGTGCAACCACGCAACCTTGGCTGGTCACAGGTAAGGACCCTGTCCTTGTATCTTCTAGCTTTCTGCATTTTGTACGACTAAGCTGGACTGGGCGTAAAGCCAGACCGAGTGCTCTCAAACAAACTAGACGTTTCAAAAACGTCTTGATTGGCAGGCTCGTCTTGAGACAAATCAAAATATTAACCATCCAATTCAAGTCACGATGGCACCAAACGCAAGCTTGAAAAGGCGTACCTCCTTTTGTACGGCTTCAGGTCTTCTGCAGCCGTGCACTTGCCCTGGCTTACTTTCCAATCGATGAACAGGTATTGCGCTGATGAGAGCAGAGATTTCCGGAGTTGCTAGCACCAACGACCCTGTAAGGGTAGATTATACTGTCACCGCAGTTAAGTAGGTTATCACGAACCTTAAACTGGATAGGTGACGTCGTTTCGTTGTTTGAAGCAGCTGCTTCCACGAGCTGGAGTTCTCCCGCATCAACGGCAAGCTGGGGAACATCGACGCCAATACCGGGGACGCGCAGACTGGTACGCAAAGTCTCATTAGTCCTTCTGATGAGGCTCAAACGAAAGGTCTGACGACCTAGAAAGCGGCTGTGGGTGGTTGACGGAGGCTGTAATCCGAGACTATTCTTAGTCAACATGGCGAGCGCATTCGGGTTGCAGAATTTCTTCAAGCTCTTGTCTACTTCCTCGTGTTCGCTTTCAGAGTGTCCAGGGAGAATCATATACCTTGGCGCTCGAGCAAGCAAAGCTCGTGTTTTCAGACTATGCATTAGCAAGAGGAGTATTTTCACGAGTTCATGTGACTGGGGTTCCCCGACCTTCTGCGTCGTTGCATGCTTATCTTCATAAGACAAGGTGAAACATTTCCGCGTCAAGTAGACCTGAATTATCTCCCCTGAGCTTGTACGCAGGATGAAGCAGCGGGTAAAACTACTTGCGCGGACACGGTTCTCGATTTGCAGCACTTCAGAGCTGAAAACAGGCACTCACTTTTTGAGACTATGGCGCCTTTTACAATCAGTTTCCTGATCATCATTCTGCTTATCTGGATATATCAAGAGTTGATCAACCCAAATCCACTTTTCTGCAGGTTGGGACACAGACCAGTTCCTGACGGACCCGACTGAGGCGGCGCTCGTGGGACTGGCGATCATCAGGAATGTAAGGACCGAGCTCTTTTGCAAAAGGAATCAGTTGGTTTGAAAAGCTCAAGCCTGAATGCTTGGGTATACTATGACATTCTGCAACCGTTTATCTCGCATTTTCGTTCGAGCTGAAGCTAGGTTAACCACGGACAACACCGTCAAGCAGGTTTGTGGAGTATGATCGTTGAAGGAGAGTACGGTCTTCGGCTAGGGCTCGCAGGCTTTGCTGCGAGGTTTTGCTCTTTGGTTTTCGAAAGTGCTTAGAAGCTGACCGCTGCCACTCGCTCTCTGCTCTCAAGCTTTATGGAACAAGCCTGCTCTCTGGATTTCAATATCTGTTCTCCGCGTTGTCAAAATCGCAAGTGGCATGTTTCCGCTCGGTCGAGAACTGCTGCTACGAGCGCTGTGAATCTTTCAGGCTCCAATTCCACGGTCAAAAGCAGCCAAGCATAGCAGCCAAGCCCTGAAGCATGCGCAGGACTTGGTTTGACACAGACCCCTCTTCTTCTTCTGCAGGGAGGCTTGGCGCCTGGAGGGATCAACTTCGACGCGAAGCTGTGAGTTTTTTTCGCAGTGCTCAGGCGCAGCGCCCTTGCTGTCGTATTTCATGTACGAAACGAGTCTGCAGAGCGCGTCGTTAGTACTTGGCCGGCATTTGCCGGCGGGATTGCTTTTAACACCAGCTTCCCTGTTGTAGTTCAGCAGTGACAGATTATAGTCTCTTTCACACCGCTTACATGACAAAGCTGGGTCAGTCAAGTGTCAGACTGAGCTTTTCTGTGAAAGCTTGTTAACAGCTGTGCGCTGTAACGTAGTTTCGCGAGCAAGCTTGTCATGACGAAGCCCGAACGTCCTAGGAAGACAAAACGACAGGCAAATTGATCTGAATCACTCTTCAGGCGCTCAATGGTGGGGCGGAAGAGCAAATTGTTTCCGGGTAGACTGTTCAAAGGGCGCAATGACGTCAAGTATACAAAAATGCAGATAAGTTGTAACTTTGTGACAATTTGACACGTGTCCTCAGGCGGCGAGAGAGCATCGACGTCGAGGACCTGTTCATCGGCCACATCTCGGGGATGGATGCGCTCGCACGGGGGCTCCGGGTGGCTGCCAAGATTGTCGAGGTACAGCCTTTTAAACATTCTCTCGAAAGTTAAGTCGCTTGTGAATCCTGTTTGGCGCGCCCGCGCATGCACTCATGTTCTTTACCCCTAAAGCTCGTACGATGAGGTTCATTTTGTCAGCCTGGTCAAGTACGTAGCGCTTCTGGCTCGCCATTAAGCCGCCCAGTGACGGCATTTTCTATGTTTACCGATCAGCACACAGAAGCCGCCCTTGCATCATCGTCCTCCCTGCAGCTTTGAGTCCGTTCATTCTGGTTTCGTCTTCCTTCTCGTTTGCAATGCTTTCATCGTCCTCGCGTCTGAGTCTTCTTCAGGAGCATTTGCTACAGCGCGGTGGAGCAGGGTGATAACCGCTATGTGCTTATCACCTTCAAACGCATCGCTAACAATCAGTGCGAGCGTGAGAGAGCCCGCGAGACACTAGGACAATTGTTTATGCTCCTCGACGAGGTCGCTCAAAAAACAAAGTGTTTTACCGCAGGATGGGGCCTTGGAGAAGCTGGTGCAGAAGCGGTATGCGGGATGGACTGGGCTGGGGGCCAAGATCGAGGTGCGTGCCTCACCCGCCCCTCCGACTTTTGTACCTTGCGGTTCCGTCTTTCAGAACTGTTATTTGGAAAAGCTGCCGGCTTCAATGGACGCAGAATACGAGTGTCCAGGCTTGTATACAAAGCATGCAATGGCTCCTGTCCTCGTTATCGAGAATCTTTTGTTGATTATGACGGCAGGTGTGGCTTACTTTCATCGAACAATGCCTACGGACAAAGCGAGGATTTGAGCGTCAACAGCGGCAAGAAGAAACAACCCCGTTGACATAGTGGGTCAGCCTCACTTTTGCTGACGTGGCGCTTTCTGGTTGGTGCAGGCGGGCACGGTGAGCCTGGAGGACCTGGCCAAGGCGGCCGAGCAGCTGACGCTGGACGACCTCACCTTTTCAGGCAAAGAGGTGAGATGAAGTTCCCGCTGTTTGAATTAAGTAGCATTTCAACATACTAAAAATGACTTCCCCTACAAGCGGACAAATATTGGAAACATACGGAAAGTATAACATTTCGTGGGGTCTGCCCAACCTTCTCTTGCAGACATACAACCGTATGTGGAATCTTTGACACGCAACCATTTTGGAGTGAGAAAAAGCTTGCCAGGTTCTATGAGTACGTCGAAAACGAGTATGGGTACCGTGTTCAGCAAATGTGTCTCGTCCAGGGAAGCACTTCTGAAGTTGTTGACTGTATACGGCCCAGTCACAATCTGTTAGCCGGATGTGGATTACGGAATGCGAAGGACTGGCGGTCTTGGCGAACAGATTAGTTGGATGTAAGGCATCCTCTCTTCGCCTTAGGGAGCCGTCAATAAACAGCGTTTAAGCAAACAGCATCTTCGGGTAACTAACCAGTGGTCCTTTCTAGAAGCTGCAAGTCAATTAGACGTGCCTCCTGTTGTCTCGCAGGAACTTGCCGAGGTCATTCTGCAGACCTTCGTTTCCGGCCCCTTCATCCACGAGGCTGAGGCGCAACCCGTAGGTTCGGAATCTGGTAGAACCGAGCTGTAAAGCTCTCAACCCTTCCGGCGAGACGCGCTTGGCACATCCTATGCAAGTCAGCTGTATTATGTGTATGACCCAGTGATGAGCAGATAAAGACACGAGAAGGTGTACAGGTATGTACTTATAGTGCACTCAAGGAGATACAAGAGACAGTGAGTTTGTCCAAGGATGGCCAGAGTCTGCAAGAAGCTTGGTTACTGGCATGTTAGAGGAACCCACTCCAACTGCGTACTTTGCTTTCCTGCTGTCCTCAACTCATTGTCGCATCCCTGAGGAGTAGGTTCCCAAGGTTTCTCTCACGATCCCAATCACAATGCTACCTTCTCATGAACGGGTCCTAGAATCTTCGCTCATGCATCCTCGCAATCGACGAGAGGACGCCCATCACATTTCTTCAAGCATGTGCTCGTGGTTATATGTGCTGATACGGTCAGGTCGATAGGCCCGACCAGGAATCAAAACAAGAGTCTACCCAGGACCCGGCCATTGGCATATAGACCTTGCGAGCAATCGAGCCTGCCAGCCCAGCTTGGCTGCCGTGCTAACTAAGCCTGCATGCAAGCTCGGTGCATTCATGCATATGGGCAACTCACGTCGAAGCATGAATGTAAGGCCCTAACATTTGTACACGTGGGCCGCCCACTCAAGGATTTATCAAAGAACCGCGTCTAAAATTGACATTGTCACTCTCTGCCTGACAATGATGTTCGCGCACGTACATGAATGCACCATCATCTTGCAAGAGACTCGAAGAGATGTTGGCACCGCTTATGTCATCATCATGATCAATACGGTACGTACTATTTGATTGAAGATGCATGGCTCATATATTTGAGCCATGTGTCGGTAACATCATATATCGAACGACACACGCAACATTCAGATACCGTTGTGGCTGATGAGCAAGGCAATCATGGCCAGGCCCGCCGGCGGCGTACACTTTGATTCGAGTTCATGTTGGTCTCTGGCTAGTACAATTTCTATTGAAAGAGTTGCTAGTTGCAAGCTGGGAATTGCTGTATTAGCATGCGTACGTGTTCGAATGCGGCGCCTACATTCAACTTCAGGCCCAATGGCTTCATGACCAATTTCACGACTTTTGCCAGTTTTTGGGGCAATGGTGACTGCCAGCAGTGGCGAGGCATGGCCTGGCACTGAGGGATGTTTCTTCGCAGCCGTCCGTCCGATGTTCGACTGTGATCGGACGGTTCGTTGGAGCCGTGATTTCTAGCATTTGAGAAGGTTTTTGCGCCACACTAGTTTCTAGCCTGCTCGAGCTAGAGGAGGCAATGCATGTGGGCAAAAACATGGATTGAAATTGCACTAATTGGAACAGCTGAAAAGCTTGCGAGAAGACTCGCCCTTTTGAAACCATGGCTCCTGTCTTGGGCTGGCCTGAGGAAGGACTCTTCCTTGGTTTGGACTCTTCCACACAGTAAGCTGGCCAGCGTCGAAGAGTTTGAAAATGGATTCAAACTGGATGTGACTTGTCACACATCAATCTGGTTGGGACTTTGGCCTGTACATTCAGAAAAGATTGCCTTTTAAGGTGGTGACTTTCTGAAAATTTCTGCCTTCCATAAGTGTTAATCTGCTCCATTGTTTACACGAAGTGCTTCAGGAAACTTCTACGTTTCTGCATTCTTTGACAGGAAGGCAGCAAGTATTCATTTCTGCACTCAAGTGGATTATCAGGTCCCTTATGTTGAATCTTGCACCGATTGATGTGGGCTTTTAGCTTGTGATATCTTGCTATGGCTGGTCAAAACATACTCAATTATACTGGCTATTCGCAGTCTAGGAGAGACGTCTGGTTTTGCCCGCATGTCCCTAAAACGAGCATCTTGAAAAGATTCTTATTGAACACCCTGTTAATCTGGACGGCTAGGAAAGCCCTTGCTCTGCGATTGCCACTGATCTTTTGCTTTCACACAAAGACAAGTAGCATGATCACCGGGCAACTTTCATGGTGCATTACATCTGAGTGGACTTTTACTGATTCTGGTGATCAGTCTCCCTCATGAGCCATGCTCGCATGATGAGTCTAAAACAATGTGCCTAGATTGCCCCAAAAACATTCCTTCCAGACATCCAGACATATGCTTTCTCTCAGCTGTATGCCTTCTCCATATTTCAGGTCCATGAAAGTGACGGCCCTTGACTCCAGCCTGAAAGTTGTGGCCACTCAAGCCATCCAGTTTGACTCAGCCCTGCCTCAGTATGGGACCACTGATGGAGTCCACAGGTGAGCAAGGCTTTGCAAGATAGTAGCACATTAATGGCGGTTTCAGAGTCACTTGCTCACAAGGATTTTAAAAATATCACAACGTGTCATAACCTAGGGACCTTTGAAATTCATTGCGCCACTTTCAATTCTAGAGTCATCAAATGATGACAGGCTGAGTCTGTAGTCATCAAACAAAATAATGGACCTGCCAGCTTGTAACGCTCAGTGCCAAAGCTCCGAAATCTGCACAGCCGGCTCGTTACTTTCACCCCTCAGTCTCACATTTACTGTCTTACGCTGACAGCAGACCACGAGCAATCCTTCTTTGGCAGAGGCCCCGATTGCCCGGTCATGGTCTCCCCTGCTTCGATATCATCTGATCTTTATGCTCTTCTTTGAAGATCTGAATCAGGGTCTGCGTTGATTGAAAAGGCTGGGGTAAAATCTGTGCATAGCAGCTGACCTTAAACTTACTTGTCAGATGGACCTTAACGCCACTCCAGAGTCAAAATACCCTCACACAGAGAGTCCTGGTTGGCTTCAAGTTGGCTTGAGGCTCCCAACATTTTTGATTTCTGCAGCATATCAAACGAATCTGGTCGTCCATTGCAGGGGCCCGAACTCCCAGGTCACCTCCCCCACTCTCATGTGGGTTGAGGCGCTCGACCTCGTCCTGGCCAGACTGCAGGAGGCCTCGTTTCCCTTCGAGCGAGTCGCCGCTGTCTCTGGAAGCGGTCAGCAGCATGGGAGCGTCTACTGGGCTAACGGGGCCCGCTCCAAGCTGCAGTCTCTGAGGCCCTCTGACAGCCTGGCGGCGCAGCTCAAGGACGCGTTTGCGACACCCGGTGAGGTCATCGAACAAAGCGTACTTGTTGCTTTGAGTCATTCCCGGAATCTGATGAACTTGTTAAGGCTTTGCGAGCCTCACAAGCAAAAGAAGTGCAGCACGCAGCAAAGAGCTTTGAATTCTGAGGGAACCAGATTTGAAAAGCGTGGGGTCAGATTGGGAGGCATCCACTTTGTGAAGGTGGTCGTTGTCAGGGTGTTGCGGCAGGTCTAGTCATAGAACAGCGCTATTCTGACATTCAGGATGGGATGCAGAGAAGTGTGCCCTTCAAAGTGCGCTTCGTCGGAGAGGGGATACACTCACGACCTTCAAGACTCAGCAAAGGACTAGGTCCTCAAAGGGTATCTGGAGGACGACCCTTGCAAACGTTGAAGTATGCTTCCTCAACTTTGGAAGTCTTAATTCTCTACAATCTCGTGTTCTCGAATAAATACCCGCGGCGAAGTTTTTGGAAACGATTTCTCAGAACAAGTGTTCTGACCTACTTTCCCCTGGCCTTGTAGCTTCCCCAGTCTGGATGGACAGCAGCACCGCGAAGCAGTGCAAGGAGATCGAGGATGCGGTTGGAGGCCCTTTGGAGCTTGCACACCTGACAGGATCCAGGTACGAATACCAACTGGACATATTGTAAGTGACACCCAATCATAGCGTCTGATCCATTGTTTTGTGTACCTTTACGAGGCATTGTTGCTGGAGACGTCCGGTTTTGATGAGTTGGTTATGGAAGAATGCGCTCTGCACCCAACACTGCACATGGCTGACTGGCATTCAGTCTACCCGTAGTCGCCCCGCTTTTTGACGGCTTCGTTTTCCATTTCTGCAGAGCCTACGAGCGTTTTACGGCGAGCCAGATCCGCAAACTCTACCAGCAACAGCCGTGAGTGGTCCTAAGCTCTTTCTCTTGTTCCGGCCCTCAGCAAGCCGGAAATCGTTTATAAGTGATTTCCGAACTCTAAGAAGCTATCAGCCACATCGCAACGTAGAAGGCAGAATTTTGAATTTACAGTGGATCTTGCTTGATTGACGGCACGCTCGTGGTAGAGTTTTGCAGGGCCCAGAAGCATGTTGCGATTGTGCTGCCAGAATGCCTTCAATCCTGTTGCAGACGTTAATCGTCTCAGAATGTTGTCATTCTTGTCACGACAAACCCCCCTAATGTCTCTCAAGTCTGCACTCATGCAGGTCGGTGTACGAACATTGCGAACGGATCTCTCTCGTCAGGTGAGGGATCTGTCTTGAACGTACTCTTGAAGACTGTGAACGCGCATTCTTGGTGGATGTGCGTGAGCTTCGGAAAGGCCTGATGGTATTGAAGAACCACGGTTTCAACGCTTTGAGGGGAATGTATTTACGAAGATGAGAAAAAGAGATCGGGGAGTCAAACCCTGCTTCCTCCCTGGATTTCCTCCCTGGCGTCTCGTTTTGTGAGATTACTACGTCTTTATCGACTTCACCGAATGAAGCAGTAGAGCTTAGGAACGCATGTCCAGAGAACGACGAGATGATAAGACAAGTACGTCAAATTGGCGTTTTCCTCTCCTATGCAGCTCCTTCATGGCGTCCCTCTTGATGGGCGACTATGCCAGCATCGACTTCAGCGACGGCACGGGGATGAACCTGATGGGCCTGCGAACATTCGAAACC